AAGGCTTAAATGTAAATTGCGTGAATAAATACGGTGCCTCCCCATTACATTTTGCAGTTGAAAGTGATAACATAGACGTATTAATGGAGGCGGGTGCACAACTCCAATCGTTAGATAACAATAACAATAATATTTTGCACTACGTTTCAAGAACGACAGATAAAGTTATAGAGTTATTAGACTATTTATTATCTGCAGCAGACTTTAACGTAAACGCTCAAAATAACTGTGGAACGACTCCATTGCAACTGGCATGCAGAAGTGGTAACTTTTTGTTCGTCAAAGAATTATACGAACATGGAGCTGAATTAAATATTTTAGATAATGACAAGAAAAGTGCCCTGCATTATGCTTTGGAATCTTCAGAACAGAATAATAATTTAATTAATTACTTAATTTATAACGGTATTGATGTCAACGTTCAAGACAATCACGGAAAAACACCACTGGAACTTGCATGTTCAACAAATAATTATCATATCGTCGAAACGCTGATCGAATTTGGTGCTGGTGCAGAAATGTCTTGATATTTTTATTCAGTTTCGTTTAAGTTATGCTTTGTGCTTATACTTAACATAGTGGCATATTTTGTAGAACATTTCTTCGTTTAGGTGTTTTTTTTTTCCTTATTTTGTAAAGGTATCTATTCATATAATTTAATTTTATCCACTCGAAGAAATTAGCAGTTTCCATAAAATTTGTCTTGTGTCCTAAATATCTATCTACTTTCGCAATTGATTTATAATCACTTTTAATGCCTATGGTTGTTATAAAAGTACGCTGTATAATTTGGATCCAGTTACTCAGTTCTGACTTTATTCTGTTGCGTTATAAATTGGTGCTATTCTCCTTATATCATGTGTTATCTATCGAATGCCAATGATTATAACATTAACGATTAATATAATTTCAAAATAAAAGAAAAAAGAGGAATTACAATACAGTCAAGACAACAACTTTCAAAAATCCATGGCTGTCTTTGATCGTGTTTTTTAAATTTCTTTCGGTATGATATTTTTGTCACACATGTCATTGATTTTTAACCATAAATATCTATGTTTTTCATCTAAGAGTAGAATATTAGGCGTATTTAATACCTTAAGTTTAAAGTGTAAAAAAATGTTCTTGAGAAATGAATTTATATAAGATGTTAATAAAACTTTCATTAGTTAACTTTTACAAAATGAGCAAAAAATATTTACGTATTTATCTGAAGTTCTTACAATAGTGAGGACACATTATATTAATAGAACGTCCTCGTAGCATTTGTTGCATAGCATGTACCTAATAAAATACTGTATTTTTCTATATTAGAACTGTGTTAACGTTCATAAGTGTACTCTTTTTGTAAGATTAATAAACTGTAACTAAGTAATTATTGTAATTGCACTTATAATGTATGAACAGTATTTTGGACGATGCCCAATTAATTGATAAGTAATGGTATGTTGATGTAAAAAGAGTATCATTACATTACTTCAAATTCTTTTAATATTCTTTATGTAGTCCATCCTGTTTCCAAAATCTCATGAAATTAGGGTTATGCTAATTCAATCTGGATGCTTAGGGTAAAAACTCAATAAACAATAAATAAAAAAGTACTTATGTTATTTTATAAAATTTATATACCTAACATTTATTGTTGTAAAAGTTGGAGTTGACGTTATATGATAGTTAGGATGATTACAAATGTTGGTCAGCGTTTTATTAACCGGAAACGAGAGACCTATATTTTCGTATTATAGGGATCATGAAACGTTGAGAAGCCATAAAAGTAGCCAGTCGCCCGATGAACTTGATTACAATACTTCCCTTGCTTACGCTCGAGACGTAAAAAAAATAAACAATAAGATTTGGATTTAATAGCTTTTGAAATCCGGTGAGTGAATTTTATGAGGCTATTATTAACATTACACATAACCATCCACTTAAATTAACTGGTAAAAAAATATACCCATTAATAAATTATTGTAAATTTATTTTTATGTGCACGCACATAATTGCACGACAATAATGGTTAGGCAAATATGTAGAATGATAAAGAAAGGCAACGTCATATTAAAAAACAAATTACTCGTTTAAATGTAAGGTATCTTATCTAAGTTAACAACATACATCTATTTAGTTATAGGCAAAAAATATAATAAGGAATTTATTCTTGAACTAAGTCGTAAATTGTAAATAGCTATAAATTCGGAAATAATTCTTTTTAAAAGATACAAGTCAAAAATGTATTAGGCATGATTGTCAAGAAACATTCCAATCCTGTTTCAAAATTTGCAAGCATTTTATGTCAAAAGCTGATTTTTGTAAACGTTCAGTAGTACATTATGAATGCTTAGGTGGATTTCGCTTCGAAATTTTAATTTTTTATATACTTTCACAGCATTTTAATTTAAAAAATTAAAAATGTATCTATTATCTATGATTAGATGTAGAAATATCGTTTCTACCAGTGCAAATACAAAAAAAAAAATTGTGAACTCTTACTGGTATGCAGCATTATAAATCGTGTTCACTAAAATTAGTAAAAAGTTAAATTATTTGTTTATCGAGCAACAAATCTATTTGAAATTTGAATTTGTAAAATTTCGAATCTAATAATTTGAAACTCAATCATTTAAAAAAAAAATCGAAAGTATTTGTAACATCTATAACAAAAAAAAAAAGAGTTGCACAAATTACAGTTGTTTTTTTTTTTTTAATTTCACATTCATCAAAATTGTTAAGTCTCTTTTTTATTTATTTCACATTATGAGTCATTCCCATCTTACTTGTTTTGCACGTGAAGTTGATTAAGATTTCGTGCCAAACTCCAAACTGAAAAGCAAAACAGCAAACAAATACCTAAAAACGGATAACGATACTGTATCGATTTCTGCTTGGACATGGGGCAAATCAGCACTCACTCTAAACTATGTTTCCCTTTCCCCAAGTGCGACATGCGGCAAATCTGCACTAAACAACAGAGGCGAAAATCCCTCGGACGCGGCCTGGTCTATGCGGCAAACCAGTTCTCAGGTGACGACATGGTTGTTGTTTCTTGTTCACCATTCTTAATCTTCTTAATTCTTAATTTATGGGGGCTGACCGTAGCCAGCCGGCACTTAGGCCTCGCCTTTGGGCCCATTGTACCTTCCCCAAGTCCATATTGTTCACCATTAAGAAAAACAATCAGGTGAATAAGAAGCTACTTGTTAAAAATTAATCGCTACTAGTTAATAGTCTGATTTAAGTATGTATATTTGTAATTACAAACACATGACGAAAGTATCATATAAATTCAGACAACTTTACTATTGTGATAGCGATCTTAGTTTTATGTATAAACTAACGAAGGGAGTTGCGAAATGTATACCTACCACTGATACGCAACATACCAGTTATTATATTCACAAAATCCGCTGACTTGACAGATGAAGATAAAATTTCTGGCAGAGTAATTACTTAAACTGTGAGCTTATACCGATTTCAATGGATGTAATTTATCAGTGTTATTGACGTGTAAATAAATGGTTTTTGTTCACTATGCAGTGAACAAAAACCATCAGGTGAGTGCATACATGTAGGTACTTGTTAAAAATTTGTCGCTAGTAGTTATAGTCTGATTTATATATGGGCCATACCACGAAAATGTCAACCTCAGCACATTTTTTTGAAAATTGTTAAATTAATCTAAATCTTATAATTAGTACTTCTAAAAACTTTAAATTTTACTAGCATATACTCGTATTTGCTTTTACAATACCATAACACCCGCAGTAAAAATTTCTTGTTATTGAGGAATAATAAAATTGTTCAACGAAATGATAGATATTATGTCTTCTTTAACATTGCTAGAAACAAAGTAAATATCTCGATTTACTTACAATATAAAGCACGGTCGTAAAGAGTACACCTTTATTGACAATAATGTACAATCAATACTTATCCCAACATCAGCTTTAAAAAAATATTATACTTCTTCCTTCTGATATATGTGATAATTGGTGTAAGTAACGATAAGTGACTAATTTTCATGTTATTCGGAAATATTAAAAATAATTGCAAATCAGGTTACATTGTCTCTTTTTCTCGTTCTCGCTCTCTATTTTCATTGTACTTTTATTGAAATTGCCTTATGATTATTATTAAAAATCGCATCGTTACTTACGCGAAACGGGATAATTTTATTTCGGTGGCTTAGCTTTGAAATTAAATAATTAGTCTTGACAGCCGTTAATCTACCAATAATTTGATTTTGCTGTGTCTTTAACATCCAAGGAAAGATTAAGAAAACACCGACAAAAATTAAAAAAATACCTAAATTCAACCAACCGAAAATATCAGCAGGAATATATTGAATTGAATAATGAAAATAAAAAGGAGAAAAGCGAGAAAAGCCAAAATGAAAACAAACAAATGGAAATTTCAAATGATGGTAATGTCATCAAATAAATAAATTGTAAATTCGGTAAGTTTGTATATTTTTTCTTTTAGCACTTGATCCTTTTACTTTTTTAACATTACATACATTTGTTTATTTCAACTTACAGAAGTTTTCATAAAAAAATAAAATTTGCAAAATCAAATTTTATAATTCTCGAAAATGCTGGAAATGTTTCATTGTACTTCATGGGCGAGGCAAGTTCTGTCTAAACAACATTCGACCAACTTTTTCTTTTATTTAAAACACGAATTTGCAATTTTTCTTACTTCCGGGGGAGCTTATATTCACAAGTTCGCGTAAGAAACGATGACATCGTGTAAGTAACGCAATTTTTTCTCTTTTTAGACATAATCAAAATTAAACTTCTTCTCGGTTTTTGAATACACGAAAATTATTTTTTTTATCAGTATAACTGTTTTTGTATGATAATTCACAATTCCATAGAAAATGGAGAAAATTTATCAATTCCAGAGAAGGCAGGTTCAAAGTTTTCACGTAAGTAACGCAAACTTTTAATTAAATTTTGACTAAATTAAATATGACTTTAGTCATATCAAATTATTAAGAAAAACGAGAAAACAAATCTCTACGATTACGTTAAAAAATGAAAGTGTAAAAACACTTATGAGGACAGTTTAAAATAAGAAAATTTTGCAGAGTCCAGTACGATTTTAGCCTAAGTAACGGTGGAATTGCCCATATCCTTACAAACACGTGACTAATGCTACGCAACATGCCAGTTACTCTATTTCACAAAATCCCCTGACTAGAAAAGAGATGACACTATGCAATGTCTCTGTACACTAAGTAGAACTACATTTATCATTTTTTCGTTAAGTGTGGTCGTTTTTGTTTTTGTTGGAGTGTTTCTAACCGTGGTTCCTAATTATTATTCTCTATTTTTCAAAAACAACTTATTCTTTCTTATTATCTTATCAAAACTAACCCAGTTTATTATTTGTGTTGTTTGTTCTAAGTGTTTGTTTTTTTTTGTTTGCACCAAAAATGAACACGGCCGGAAAACATTTGAGCTCCCGTGCTGATGATGGTGGCTAATCTCATAGAGTCATAGAGTATTTCCCTATGGGAAAGGAGAACAATGGTCCTCTGTTGTCGTTAAATGCCATAGAACAAATAAGATAAAAAGCAATGGAAATTTTCATTGTTTTATTAGTTATTACAACTGAATGCTTTAGGCATTAGTTTGTCAACGGTGTCTAAGATTAAAACCAGAAAGGAGAGGCTGAGTGTTTTCGCCAGCCCAACCACACGAAATCCCAAATCTTTCAAGACAAACAACCTTTATGAGCCTATAAAAATGGAACTTCGCAATACGATTTATGACATGTGTAAAGATAGTGGGTGATAATGATTCATTGAAAAACAATGTTGCAACAATTATTAATGTTTTCAGGAAAACATATTACTTGCAATTGAAACGTACAATTTGTATGTCCAGTAGTTATTCCAGAGGATGAAGTTGTTAGCGCAGCAGTATATAGTAAATACCGGCGATTTCTCGGTATTGTAGCCGACAGAATAGCTTTTCAAAAACACTGTCAGCTTGGAAAATTTAGCTATGTCAACGTTCTTTTTGATCTCCATCATACACTTTAACTTGGAGTCGGAATAGCAGATGCTTGAAATTGTATAAATTTTTGACTAAAACAAGAAAATAATCCAAATACAAAGTTGAAAACTAAAAGACAAGTAATTTAGCTGGTCCGCAAAATATACAAACATAGCTTTTTCAATCACCGTTGTCACCCACTTCAAAAATTTTTCATACTCTTTTATATAAATTCTCATTTTTTGGCACTAAATTTGGTTCAGCTTCTGAAGCTTCATGCCATAATCCCTTGCATTATAAACTAGTATCATAATATGCTGTTACGAAATAAACCCATACGCGGCCCCAGTACGACACCTGTGGGTTTTCTAGTATGTGCGGCGATGTTGGGTGACTCATCGTCGGTGACGGCGGCCGGGCGGCGTTGGCTAAAGAAAAACCTGAAAGCCGAAGTCGCGATGGTTATTCCAGAAATACTTCGATCACGAAACCTCTAGAACGGGAGTATGGGTTTAAATGAGTGAAATCAGTCAAGTTGCGCCGGAATTATTTTGTACATAATCGCTGTATAATTAGTCATGTAAATTCGAGTTACTAAGAAATAAATTGTGGAATTATACCCACACCGATTTAATTACCGATCTTCATAACAATACTATTCTGAAGGAAACAGTTGATGGTCACAATTGGAGCTAAATAATTTAAAACTGTATGTTCAAAGTGTATTTTGTTTTCTATTAACGAACACGTAGGTACACATTTAATTTGATAATTTTTGATGAGAAAGAGCATTGGTTTAATGTAATTCATGACGCTCAACAAAATCATGGCCTTTTGTCTATGATCTTACACAATATATCATAAAGTTTTTGTCATTTTACATCTGTTCGTGTTAAAATTCGATTTTTATTTATCAAAATTTCGTAGTAATTCGCATGAAATAAAAAAAAATATTGATTTTAATTTCTAACAATGTAAATCTTACTCAACTAGTGTCGTTAAATTTTTCCAAAAAAAAAAATCCTTCATTGTTGGTTGCAGAGGTGTACTAGAATTTTCAACACGCCAGTTTTTTTTATTATTCAAGATTTTAAAGTCAATGAGCGGCAAAGTTGTGGATTATGGTCTATATTTTTTGTAATGAAGAAGTTTTTCACAAGGATCTTTGTCTTTGAGGTAAAAATGTTCAAACCGAAGCAATGTCTCGAAAATAACACTTATGTATGACAATATTTTGAAATGTAGTCAACACTTTTGTGGTTCGGATAATTAAACACATATTGGTTAGCGTCTTCTCTTAAGAATAAAAAATAATAATACCACAATCCAGAATAAAATTTAAAGTCTATAAAGCTAAATTCTCATTTGAACTTATTTATTATCTTATTATTATGTTATATTATTAAGTATTTATTATGTCACAAACAAATATCCCAGTGGAACTCACGTATGTTTGTATTTCTTAAATTAGATACTCGATCATGGAGAATACTCAAGAGTCACTTGACCAAAGAAGACGACGACTTCTAGAAGAACTTCAGCTTCTAGACCAACAAATAGCAGAAAGCTCAGGAATCCAGCAGCAGCCTGCACCAAAACACGATGTAAGTTTTTCGTTGCTATCAAGATGAGATTTTAGTCGAGTTGAAATTTTGTTTGTACGTCATTACTTGTTATAAATCGTTCAGGAAGTTTTTCGACAAATGTGAGCTATGGAATGTTTTTTCACGTTGGATAAACTGACTCATTGACAAAATAGTGTGTCTGTCTCTGTCAGTGTGGGAGGCTGACGTTCACTTAACGCTGGTTTGCCACATTTCTTGTTATTTAGAAATCATATTATCAAGTTCCAACATTTCTGAGTCATTCAAATTGAAAATGCCAAAAATTATTTTGTTACAACAAAAAATTTCAATAAAAAGGTGTTATCTGCAAATGAAAAAAGATAGTTCTCAACTCAAGGTTGCAGTTTAGAATTTTTCAAAGATATAAAAACCCTTGACTAAACAGATATGTGTACTTAAATTAAGCGATAAATAGATACCTATCATTATTATCTTTCTTTTGTTAACACTGTTTTTTTTTTTATCAGGAATGCCTCTATTGCAAATGATTGTACTAGTGTAAATAACTTGACGATTACATTTTGTAATTTTAATTATTTTGCAGAAAAAAAAATAATTTGTTTCAAAAGGTTCCAGAAACTGAAAGTACACAGCAGGCGCCACAAGAAAATATAGAGGAGAATAATGAAAATCAGCAGTTGCAATCAAACACCAGCCCACAGGTGGATCAAATCTCTTCAAACGAAACAGAAACAGATGTGAGTACGTTCATGGAATGATTCTTACGGTAAAGCAATTTTTTAATTCCGAACTGAGTCAAGCTTCGTATGTTACTTGTTTAGTTATCAGAGAAAAAGTAACTTTTTAGTTTAAAATATGAGCAAATGTTCATGTTTTTCACAAATTGTCATTTTCATTATACCTTATATTCTATTATTATCTTTCTTTTAATACAATTTTCAAAATTAGACGGTTTGAATTTTGGCTCGTTCTCTTGCACTGCTTTGACATATATTTTCTGTAAGGTATGTTTAATAGAAAATATTAGCAATTTTACTGTGATATATCTATAAACGTAATCTTTCAGGTTCAACCAACGGTTTCTCCAAATTTTTGTTTTTATGAAAAAAGGAAGGGAGTAGTAGATCTCGGCAGAGGGTACGAATACCTGACATGCACACTCTATGCTCTGAAGTTCGGTTTAGACGAAAATGTTTCTGATTTCCGCATGACCACCAATAATAAGAAATGTGGCGATTTTGATGACATCGAAATTGAAGCGACTTTTAAAAATGGTAAACGGTCGACTTTTCTTTTCCAATTAAAGCATAAATTTAACAAAGAGTACATTACCGAAAGTTTGTTGACCAATGAAACCATCCACAAAAATAAGAAACAACAAAAGAGTAAATTCTATTTACCTCATTATTTACAATCTATTTCCAATTTTGAGAAACAGGATGAAGATCTTCACTTTATTCTGTATACAAACAGCCAAGCCGCCATTAAAGGCGGCTCTGAGTTATCTTTTAACAAAAAGTACACATCGTTGTTAGTAGAAGATTCTAGCAACCTGGAATACAAAGAATTATTGGTAAATTCTGACGACGATGAGAATAAAATCTTTAAGGTGAAACCAAACGGTGACTCTGAAACAGAAGAACTGAAAAGCGTGGCGAACGTCTGCAGCAAGTTCTATTTTTTCACAAATCAGGATGATATTGAAAGCGTAAAAGGAAGCCTTAAAGTAAAGCTCGACAATTTGCTACAAAGTCAATACGACATTTTGGACCCTTTCTTACAATTTATGGAATATTGGTGGTCGGAAAATTTTGTTTTAACAAAACACTTATTGTTAGTCAAGTTAACCGAACTAGCACTATCACCTTACATAAAAACATTAACTGGGAAGAGAACTAGTGAGAAAACCGATTTGCTAAAACGAGCGATAATGGATTTCGAGATGACGATTGTCGGTAAAAGTCAAGAAGAAATAGTCGTCAATATGTGGAAAGAAGTCGAAGAAAATAACGACTGTAACACATCCCCTCTGGATCAATACGCACAGCAACGTAAAACTGAATTAAGCAGAGTACAAAAGGCAAAAATTTTGTGGCACTGGGGAAAAATCCCTCTTATTATTACGGTTGATAAATCTAACGCGAATGTAGTAGAACGAGTGATGAAACTTTTGCACAAATCCTTACAAAATAAAAAAGTTCTTTTGTTGACTGACGATTCAAACTACCAGTTTCACGGTTGGTCTATTTTTAAAACTTTATCTGACATAATCGAAAATCACCCAAACGAAGAATATTGTTCCAATATTAAAAATAAATTTAATGTTTCTCTGCAAGGCAGAAACTATATTCCTTTAAGGCATTTACTGCAGACTGACATAAATATTGCTAGGTACGTCAGAACTGAAGATCTATTTGTCATGTCTCAATGCCAGTATATGTTAATTGGTAAACAAGTGGAAAAACCCCCCGATCTATATATCCCGAGAACTGTGTATGCAAATTTTATCAATATTCAACAAATTTTTAAACTTGCAGGCTTAATGAGGAGTAACGCAATTATTATTAACTGCCATAAAAGTTTTACTAATAGGTTGGTTAAATATTTTGAAGTCATCGAATTATCTGATTACTTATCTACAGAAATTGTAAAGTTGAATAACAATTGTATTTTTGTTTCTACGAAAAGTAAATGTGGTGATAAGAAATTTGATGAATTTTGTGAGAAATCAAAAGAACAGAACGTTTATTTGTTACAAGTAGTTGACCAAAAGTACTGCATTTTAATAAGAAGAAGAGGAAAACAAACCCCATTTCGCTTTAGACGAAAATGTATAGAAGAAGCTAATATATTTGCCAAGTTTAAAGACCTGTTAAATGTTTTTTGTGCACCCCCAGGTATGGGAAAAACAAGTTTATTGAAAATTTTAAATTACAATTGTCCACGTGATTGTTGGGCAGTTAATATTGATTTGATTAACTACAATTCGGTTTTTGCAAAGGAGTCAAATCTCCGAGAGTTGTTACATTATTTTATCGAAGTGAAGGATAGTCAAGATGACCTGCTTACAAAACACATTATAAGTACTTTGTTAAGGGACAAAAAAATGCATGTATTTTTCGATGGATTAGACGAAGTGCATAGCAATTACGTTAAATTGGTCATGGACTGCATACAGCACTTATTCGCAGAAGGTGTCAATGTTTGGGTTACTTCAAGAGAAAACTTGCGCGAACAACTGTCCCAAACGTTAAATATTGTGCCAATCGACATAGAAGAAATAAGACGAAACGAACAAAAAAGTTACATCTACGATAGGTTGATCGACAAATACCAACCTGAAGAAATACAAAAAATCACAACTGCAATGTCTGACAGTGTTGATCTTAACAGAAGTCAAGCATTGTTGGGAATTCCACTGCAACTCTATATAATAACAGAAATGTTTGTCAACAATAAACAAGTATACGAAGACTTGATGCAAGAAGGTTTATTTGTATTAACTAAGATGTACCGCATGTTTTTCGACGGAAAAATAGAATCCTGTTATAAGAAAGTTATAGGCGACAATCAAGAACATCAACTAGGAGTTATCCGATTTCTTTTGAAGCAGTATGAACTTGTAGCTGTGAAAACATGTCTCGACGCTTCAGATTTTGAGAAATTGGCGTTAAATACGCAAGAGTCTCAAGAGTTTATCGATGAGTTAAAAAGTAACGGTGACAAATACGGAATAATTAAGAATATCAACGAATATGAAGAAGTTGTATTTAATCACCAAACGTACGCAGAATATTTCGCTTCGGTTTGGTTCAAGAAACATCAAGACAAAGTCAGATTGCTCGGAGGAAACTTTTTTTCTAAAAGGTACGAAAATTTGCGAATCATGTTTGATGTAATGATGGCCGAAAAGAACCCATTGCATCTGGCCGTAATTTATAAGGATATCCACCAGTGTGAAAAACAAATTGAAAACGTTGGTACTAAAGACGAAGCTGGTCGTAACGCGTTACACATCGCATGTTCTTATGGAATCAATTATCCTGAAGATGAAGCAAGGATAAACCGCGAATCTACAACTTACACAAAAATTATCGCAATGCTCTTCGGAAAACCAGAAATCAAAATCAAAATAGCCGAACGCGACGATTTATTTAATTTCGACTGTGTGGAATATGCGTTAGCATCGAAATGTCTGTATGTGATAGAAACATTGTTTGAAAAGTCATTATTAACTTTTCAAGGGTTGCAAACTTCAGTTTTTCAGTTTTATGATGAAAAAGCGTTGGTCTATTACGCGGCACAAATGGGTTATTTTAATTTGTTTTTTGAGATTACCACATCCAATTCGAGTATTGAAAAAAACAAATCCATCGTTTGTTGTGCACTGCAGTTTTAGGCGCGCGAGATGATGTAGGTACTTTAGAAACGCCGAGAGAAGGAAATATAAAAATTGTTGAATTACTAATAAAATATGATGTATATTTAAACAAAATGAACTTGTATCGCACTATTATGAATGACGCATTTGATTATGAACTACAAGACATGTGGCAAGTTTTAACAGAAAATGGTGCAAAGTTTGGCAACGGCGGTACCATTTTACATAAATTATTGGACGATGAAGATGACATTGAAGCAAACGAAGAATTTATAATATATTTGTTAGACAACTGGAACGTGAATGTAAACGTACAAAATATAGAAAGTTTGACTCCACTACATAAGGCATGTGAGAACGGTAGGCATGAGATAGTAAAGAAACTGTTTGAATAAATAATAGTTTAAAAAACTAAAAAAAACACGCTTTTATTGCTAATCGAACTAAAAACTAGAAAATAATTTTTAATGACAGAGTTTAATATTACAGTAGTAGAAGATCAAACAATCAATCATAATAAATCACCTCAAATTAAAATTATAATAAAATTTAAGTTATTAACAGAATAATTCAATTCAGAGTAAAAAGCGTGGGGTGCTTGATATTTTAAATATTACAATCATTCTATTGGCAACTATCTATGAGAGGATAGTTATGAACCGCAGTAAAATGCACCCCACGCTTTTTACTCTGAATTGAATTATTCTGTTAATAACTTAAATTTTATTATAATTTTAATTTGAGGTGATTTATTATGATTGATTGTTTGATCTTCTACTACTGTAATATTAAACTCTGTCATTAAAAATTATTTTCTAGTTTTTAGTTCGATTAGCAATAAAAGCGTGTTTTTTTTAGTTTTTTAAACTATTATTTATTTTTCATTTTTTAGTCTGCGACAAATTCATAAATTGGGGAATTAATTACTTATTTAGATTTTTCTAGAAAGAACCACTTAGTGGTCTCCGTATGATCGATCAACGGGAATTAGTTCGAAATCAATCGCCCTCACGGACCAACGGGACACAATTCATCATTGTGGTTAGTTTTACCCCCCAAATAGTTAATTTTCCTCCATGTTTGTATTTCTGAATCAAAATTTGTTATCTTTATTTAAGTTGGTGAGAATTCATGATTAGATATGTTTTAATTATAATTCATTCCTTCTTTACCGACTGTAAAACCAAAGCTATGCAGAAATTGTCCTTGAAACAGAAATAATCGGTATAGATCGGTATAATCGACACGGAGAGAGATAACCGTGGTATATAATATACTGACACAATTAAGATGCGATCAGCCATTTTTGCACACGTTTAGTTAATTAAAAGTCCGTTCTTGTTTTTTTCATTTAATATCCGTTATTTCTATTTTAATCAAGACTATAATTACAACGAAGAGTAAACCAGATACTACAGGCATGCGCAGATCGCGCGCTAGCTTTATCTCTTTTACTCCACTACACAGGATCCATAAAAGAATTTATAAATCCTGGCGCTCCTAATAAGGATAATGGGAAACTGTTATCAAATTATTGCATTGTCATCGATCCTTGAGACGTGTGCAAAGTTTCAAGATGATCAGACTTTTAGAAACCGATGAAAATTAAGCTCAAAGATTCCGTTACATCCATAAAAGAATTTATAAATCCTGGCGGTCCTAATAAGGATAATGGGAAACTGTTATCAAATTATTGCATTGTCATCGATCCTTGAGACGTGTGCAAAGTTTCAAGATGATCAGACTTTTAGAAACCGATGAAAATTAAGCTCAAAGATTCCGTTACATACATACATACAACCCAAGCTAATAAAAGCGTGATAAAAAGGAGCTGACGCAAAAATTTTAACCTGGTGTAATTTTAACTTGTTAGATTATGCTGCGTCAGAAGGTCAAGCTGATGAAACAATGATGAACATCCTGATAAATCATGAATCAAAATATTTTTGGATTCTCATTCTTACACACAGCATGTCAGGAGGGTAATGTTGAACTAGTAGCAGCATTACTTAACAAAGGTATAAATGTAAATAATTTGAACATATGTTATTTTCATGGCAACGCATTACATATCGCATTATCAGCAAAAGACGAAAATGTTGAAATAATAGAATTACTGTTACAGAGTGGTATAGATATCAATTATCAGAACAAAAAAGGACAAACACCCCTTCATATCGCTTGCAAAACTTGTAAATATCATTCTACACAATTACTACTTACAAATGGGGCTGAGATTAATACCGTGGATATCAAGAACAAAAACGCACTACATCATGCGGCAAAAAATTGGGAAGAAAACAGAGAAATAATAATTTTACTGATTGAGAATGGAATCGACGGTAATTGTGAAAGTAATGATGGATATGTAGCTCTACAACTTGCAAGAGAAAAGAACGATAATGAGATCGTTGAAAAACTACTTCAAAATGACTCGGTTATAAATCTGGATAAAAACAACCGATCATCTGGACATACCTTCGAGGAAAGATCTAATAATAATAGCGTTGTGAATTCGAATCTGTCCAGTGCGTTCCATTTGGAAAGAGGGAAGCTACAACATACCTACGAAACAAATGCAAATTTGGACAATATTGTCTACCCAAATGATCAATGTTAATATTCAATCGACAGAGTAAGTACTTTTATCTAGATTTAGAAAACACAATACTTCTTGGTGAAGTCGGTTTTGATGCTGATCGACAAGGAATTACTGCATTACAAATCGCCTGTTATGAAGGAGATTTCGAAATGGCAGAGTCGTTGATGAAAGTAGGTGCAAAAGCGAAAGTCGTGGATAATGACGGCAATACGGCATTACACTACGCTTCTGTTTCAGATGAAGATACTGAAGAAATAATACCGCTTCTAATAATTGATGGGGTTGATGTAAATGCTCAGAATAAATATGGACAGACGCCTCTACAACTTGCATTTTTGCGTGGTCATTTTAATAACACATTACAATTATTTATGTGTGGAGCAAAATTTGATATTGAAGATAATAAAAAAAAACATGCTCTCCATTATGCATTAGTGGAGCGAGATGATATGGACTGATAACCGTCTTGACATTAATTGTCAGAATCAGTATGGAATAACACCATTACATATTGCATGTGAATGTAGTGAACCATATGTCGCTGCACTGTTAACACATTTTGGAGCGAATGCTTCTGTTTTAGACAGCAATAAAAACAATGTTTTGCACTACCTTATGCGATCTGAAGGTGATGAGGAAGAGTTACACATGGTGTTAGTGGTATTTTTAGATTTAAACATTTTTGACATTAACACCCAAAACATCTACGGGACAACAGCCTTACATCTTGCTTGCCAATACTGTCACTACAAACTTGTTAAAGTATTACTGTTAGAGGAAGCTAAAGTTGATATTTTAGACAACGACAACAACAGTGCATTACACTACGCAAGTTATTCGAATAAAAGCAGTGAAAAACTGATACGTCGTTTATTACGACGGGGTCTAAATATTAATGAACCAAATAAAAACGGAGTATCACCATTACATCTTGCTTGCAACTGTGGCAATTTAGAAACTGCACAAATTCTACTAGCAAAAGGAGCTAACATCAACGACGTTGACTATAACGAACTTGATGCACTACACTATGCATCAAGTTCGACTGATACAAATACAAATCTGATAACATTGTTACTAGATAAAGGCTTAAATGTAAATTGCGTGAATAAATACGGTGCCTCCCCATTACATTTTGCACGTAAGAGTGATAACATAGACGTTTTGTTGGAGGCAGGTGCACAACTCCAATCGTTAGATAACAATAACAATAACATTTTGCATTACGTTTCAAGAACGACAGATGAAGTGATAGAGTTATTAAACTATTTATTATCTGCAGCAGACTTTAACGTAAACGCTCAAAATAACTGTGGAACCACTCCATTGCAACTGGCATGCAAAAGTGGTAACTTTTTGTTCGTCAAAGAATTATACGAACATGGAGCTGAATTAAATATTTTAGATAATGACAAGAAAAGTGCACTGCATTATGCTTTGGAATCTTCAGAACAGAATAATAGTTTTATTAATTACTTAATTTATAACGGTATTGACGTCAACGTTCAAGACGATCACGGAAAAACACCACTGGAACTTGCATGTTCAACAAATAATTATCAGGTTGTCGAAACGCTGATCGAATTTGGTGCTGGTGCAGAAATGTCTTGATATTTTTATTCAGTTTCGTTATGCTTTATGCTTATACTTAACATAGTGGCATATTTTGTAGAACATTTCTGAGTTTAGGTGTTTTTTTCCCTTATTTTGGAAAGGTATCTACTCATATAATTTAATTTTATCCATTGGAAGAAATTAGCAGTTTCCATAAAATTTGTCTTGTGTCCTAAATATCTATCTACTTTTGCAATTGATTTATAATCACTTTTAATGCCTATGGTTGTTATAGAAGTACGCTGTATAATTTGGATCCAGTACTCAGTTCTGACTTTATTCTGTTGCGTTATAAATTGGTGCTATTCTGCTTATATCATGTGTTATCTATCGAATGCCAATGATTATAACATTAACGATTAATATAATTTCAAAATAAAAGAAGAAAGAGGAATTACAATACAGTCAAGACAACAACTTTCAAAAATCCATGGCTGCCTTTGATCGTGTTTTTTATAGTTCTTTCGGTATGGCATTTTTGTCACACATGTCATTGATTTTTAACTATAAATATGTATGTTTTTCATCTAAGAGTAGAATATTAGGCGTATTTAATACCTTAAGTTTAAAGTGTAAAAAAATGTTCTTGAGAAATGAATTTATATAAGATGTTAACAAAACTTTCATCAGTTAACTTTTACAAAATGAGCAAAAAATGTTTATGTATTTATCTGAAGTTCTTACAATAGTGAGGACACATTATATTAATAGAACGTCCTCGTAGCATTTGTTGCATAGCATGTACCTATATAAAATACTGTATTTTTCTATATTAGAACTGTGTTAACGTTCATAAGTGTAATTTTTTTGTAAGATTAATAAACTGTAACTAAGTAATTATTGTAACTGCACTTATAATGTATGAACAGTATTTAGGACGATGCCCAATTAATTGATAAGTAATAGTATGTTGATGTAAAAAGAGTATCATTACATTACTTCAAATTCTTTTAATATTCTTTATGTAGTCCATCCTGTTTCCAAAATCTCATGAAATTAGGGTTATGCTAATTCAATTTGGATGCTTAGGGTAAAAACTCAATAAACAATAAATAAAAAAGTATGTTATTTTATAAAATTTATATACCTAACATTTATTGTTGTAAAAGTTGGAGATGACGTTATATGATAGTGAGGATGATTACAAATGTTGGTCAGCGTTTTATTAACCGGAAACGAGAGACCTATGTTTTCGTATTATAGGGATCATGAAACGTTGAGACGCCATAAAAGTAGCCAGTCGCCCGATGAACTTGATTACAATACTTCCCTTGCTTACGCTCGAGACGTAAAAAAAATAAACAATAAGATTTGGATTTAATAGCTTTTGAAATCCGGTGAGTGAATTTTATGAGGCTATTATTAACATTACACATAACCATCCACTTAAATTAACTGGTAAAAAAATATACCCATTAATAAATTATTGTAAATTTATTTTTATGTACACGCACATAATTGCACGACAATAATGGTTAGGCAAATATGTAGAATGATAAAAAAAGGCAACGTATCATATTAAAAAACAAATTACTCGTTTCGATGTAAGGTATCTTATCTAAGTTAACAACATACATCTATTTAGTTATAGGCAAAAAATATAATAAGGAATTTATTCTTGAACTAAGTCGTAAATTGTAAATAGCTATAAATTCGGAAATAATTCTTTTTAAAAGATACAAGTCAAAAATGTATTAGGCATGATTGTCAAGCAACATTCCAATTCTGTTTCAAAATTTGCAAGCATTTTATGTCAAAAGCTGATTTTTGTAAACGTTCAGTAGTAAATTATGAATGTTTAGGTGGATTTCGCTTCGAAATTTTAATTTTTATATACTTTTACAGCATTTTAATTTAAAAAATTAGAAATATCACTACCAATAAGAATACAAAAAAAAAATTGTGAACTATTTTACGGGTATGCAGCATTATAAATCTTGTTCACTAAAATTTTAGAGAAAATAAGTTCAATCATTCCCAAGAAAAAATTAAACAAAAATGTTACTGTTAAATTTAAATTTGTAAAATTTCGAATCTAATAATTTGAAACTCAATCATTCTTAAAAAAAAAATCGAAAGTATTTGTAACATCTATAACAAAAAAAAGAGTTGCACAAATTACAGTTGGTTTTTTTTAATTTCACATTCATCAAAATTGTTAAGTCTCTTTTTTATTTATTTCACATTATGAGTCATTCCCATATAACTTGTTCTGCACGTGAAGTTGATTAAGATTTCGTTCCAAACTCCAAACTGAAAAGCAAAACAGCAAGCAAATACCTAAAAACGGATAACGACACTGTATCAATTTCTGCTTGAACATGGGGCAAATCAGCACTCAGTCTAAACTATGTTTCCCTTCCCCCAAGTGCGACATGCGGCAAATCTGCACTAAACAGCAGAGGCGAAAATCCCTCGGACGCGGCCTGGTCTATGCGGCAAACCAGTTCTCAGGTGACGATAATTTTTCTTGTTCACCATGAAGTAAAACAATCAGGTGAGTAAATACATGAAGCTACTTATTAAAAATTTGTCGCTACTTGTTAATAGTCGGATTTATGTATATTTACAAACACGTGACCAAAGTATCATATAAACTCAAACAACTATTGCGATAGCGATCTTAGTTTTATGTATAAACAAGCGAAGGGAGTTGCGAAATGTATACCTACCACTGATATGCAAAATACCAGTTATTGTTTCACAAAATCCGCTAACTTGAAAGATGAAAATAAAATCTCTGGCAGAGTAATTACTTCAAACTGTGAGCTTATACCGATTTCAATGGGTGTAATTTATCAGTGTTATTGACGTGTAAATAAAGGGTTCTTGTTCACTATGCAGTAAAAAAATCAGGTGAGTGCATACGTGTAGGTACTTGTTAAAACTTTGTCGCTACTAGTTGTAGTCTGATTTATATATGTTACAGCTAATATCCGAAATACGTTATTATGCATAATAACTAGACATTTTAGGAATTATGCGTAATAACTAAACTTGTCAGTTATTATGCATAATAACCGGAAAGATTAGGAATTATGCGTAATAACTGAAATTTTCAGTTATTATGCATAATATCGGAAACGTTTAGGTAATATTGATAATAACTAACAGAGGAACAGGAATTATGCGTAATACCTGAAACGTTAGTCATTAAGCATTTTGCCTAATTTTATCTACTTGTCCCAGAAACACAAAATGCTGTACATTTTTTTTATGTATTTCACCAAAACAAAACTATCCATATCAAATGTATCAGCTGATTTCACAAAAAACGGGACAAGATGAACAAATCAGGTTCAATGAAAAGCAATGGGAATATGACGTTTATGTTACTGTAATTTGTCCCATTTTTTCTTTTTAAATAAACTGTACATGTGATACGTAAGGGAAAGCGAGGCAGGGTGGGTAGCTTTTTTGAAAATATTTTTTTAAATAATAATTGTTTTCTGTATAAATTGACAATTCGGTTTCAGGCAGGTTTTTACATGGAATATAATTATGGCAAATATTTTAAACATAGGAGTTGGCGATTTTTGAAAAGAAAAAGTGATAATTGTGACCAGTGGGGCCCGTGACGGGGTTCACTGATCACAGCTTAAAGTAGATAAATTTATTTTAATAAAAAACATAAAAAGTATGCTAAACTTTTAATAAGTAACCAATAAGTATTATTATGGAAAAAAAAAAACAACTCGACTTTGTAAATTTATATTAATTTATACCTACTAGTATAAGTCGACAGGGAAAGTTAAAAGCCCTTTGGTATTTGGAGTGCTTCCTATTGCATTTGGCAGAGGAAGGCAACTTACGATAACATCCCTTGAAACCGCATACTTATCCACTCTTACGAGAAAAAGAAGAGTAAGTATTCTCACATTTTTTCCGTAAAAAATTAATGTACAAATGTGAACCTTTCTTTTTATCTACTTGTCCCAGAAACACAAAATGCTTTACATTTTTTTATGTACATATTTCACCAAAACAAAACTATCCATATCAATTGTATCATAAAACGTTTGTAAGATTTCTGAAGATTCGGTTTTGTAGTTTCAAAGCTACATTGCAAATTGTTGTTATAGGTACCATTTTGATTTTTTTTTCCAAAAATCTGAATGTCTAGGGTAAAAACTCAACACAAATTTATAAACTAAAAGTGCAGGAGTATATTACTCTTGAAAATTTACAAATATAAATTTTGAAAATGACTTTATCACATTGTTGGTGGGGATAATTAAACAACTTCGGTTAGCGTTTTACCATATACATGATATTCCTAATACATACATAAAATGTGACAATAATCGGACCAGCAGTGTCTGTCTAATAAAATCCGGACAGACAACAGACATACAGAAATGGGAGACCCACTTTTTATCACGCTTTTATTAGCTTGGGTTGTATGTATGTATGTAACGGAATCTTTGAGCTTAATTTTCATCGGTTTCTAAAAGTCTGATCATCTTGAAACTTTGCACACGTCTCAAGGATCGATGACAATGCAATAATTTGATAACAGTTTCCCATTATCCTTATTAGGACCGCCAGGATTTATAAATTCTTTTATGGATCCTGTGTAGTGGAGTAAAAGAGATAAAGCTAGCGCGCGATCTGCGCATGCCTGTAGTATCTGGTTTACTCTTCGTTGTAATTATAGTCTTGATTAAAATACAAATAACGGATATTAAATGAAAAAAACAAGAACGGAGTTTTAATTAACTAAACGTGTGCAAAAATGGCTGATCGGATCTTAATTGTGTCAGTATATACCACGGTTATCTCTCTCCGTGTCGATTATACCGATCTATACCGATTATTTCTGTTTCAAGGACAATTTCTGCATAGCTTTGGTTTTACAGTCGGTAAAGAAGGAATTAATTATAATTAAAACATATCTAATCATGAATTCTCACCAACTTAAATAAAGATAACAAATTTTGATTCAGAAATAGAAACATGGAGGAAAATTAACTATTTGGGGGGTAAAACTAACCACAATGATGAATTGTGTCCCGTTGGTCCGTGAGGGCGATTGATTTCGAACTAATTCCCGTTGATCGATCATACGGAGACCACTGAGTGGTTCTTTCTAGAAAAATCTAAATAAGTAATTAATTCCCCAATTTATGAATTTGTCGCAGACTAAAAAATGAAAAATAAATAATAGTTTATAAAACTAAAAAAACACGCTTTTATTGCTAATCGAACTAAAAACTAGAAAATAATTTTTAATGACAGAGTTTAATATTACAGTAGTAGAAGATCAAACAATCAATCATAATAAATCACCTCAAATTAAAATTATAATAAAATTTAAGTTATTAGCAGAATAATTCAATTCAGAGTAAAAAGCGTGGGGTGCATTTTACTGCGGTTCATAACTATCCTCTCATAGATAGTTGCCAATAGAATGATTGTAATATTTAAAATATCAAGCACCCCACGCTTTTTACTCTGAATTGAATTATTCTGCTAATAACTTAAATTTTATTATAATTTTAATTTGAGGTGATTTATTATGATTGATTGTTTGATCTTCTACTACTGTAATATTAAACTCTGTCATTAAAAATTATTTTCTAGTTTTTAGTTCGATTAGCAATAAAAGCGTGTTTTTTTAGTTTTATAAACTATTATTTATTTTGTACTTTACGGGTCATGAAACGTCGAGAAAATATAGAAGTAGCCAGTGGTCTGATGGACTCGATTAGGTACAGCACTTCCTTAGCTTATGCTTAGGAACTAAAAAATAGATTTTTTTTTTAGAAATCTGACACTTAATTTGACACAGAGGGAGTAAAAGGAGAGTACTGTACTGGTTTATCATGAAAAATGACTTGTTGAAATTTTAACTATGTAGTAGAGAAAAAACAGCTATAATAGAAATTGAATATATATTTAATTAAAATACATATTTTGAAAAAAATTATATAGAAACGAAACAAAAATAAATTCTAGCAGTTAACGAACAAAATAAGGGACTTTTATTTATTTAAACAAGAAAAGCTTTGGTGGCACTTACTATTACATAATCTATTTTTTTTTTTTTTTGGAACGACATCTAAGTATTGTTTCTGAAAAATTTTGTACAATTGCACCGTTGATAGCTTTGACTAACTAGTACCTCAAGCAATAGTGGCTGCTTTTCTAAGGGAAATTGATACAGTTGGAATATCATTAACATGCAGAAAATCCGAAATTAAACAGGGCTCAAATTGTGATCCCACATATAATTGGGGCAGAGTGGTCACTACTAGCAGTGCATAAGAGTAGGATCTAGTTATTGAAAAAAAAATCTAACCGCGGCGTGTTTTTCATAAAAAATAAAAAATGGTTCGCAACCGAAAAAGAAAATCAAACATGAGTATAATCAAGACACTGTCCACGGCCGTTAGAATAGTGATGCATTAAGGATGGTTAACAAAGTGGGCTTTAACATGATATGTAAAAAAGACGAAAACTTAGAAATTAATTAGGAAACAGCAACACTTGATAATGATAATGTTCCAAGAATGCAGCCCAGACATAGTTCCCGTCAAAGCTTTACTAATGGGGATGAGGAGCTTTTAGCAGATTATTATCTAAAGCAAGTCTGATGCAGTCCGTAGACTCGTTTACCAATTTGTAAAGGCGGATAAAAAAACTGTAGGTAAGAAAAATCTTGCAACCTCGGTCGGAATCGAACCACACGTCACCCGCTTGCCAGGTAGGTATCCTGACCTCTAGACTACGAGAGCTTATCTTTCTACGCTTACCATACGTGATTTTGTGCCGCCACAAAACTATATGTCGGAAAACTGAACAACGAACGAAAGCGCTGGTTTACGATCTTTTTGAAAAAGAATTTTAATCTGTACATGATCGTTTTTCGGGTTGGGACCGTGTTAATTGAGTTTTTGGGCTCAACATTTCGCACACTTTCGTAAGTGGTATGTTCAGAAGAGTTTCGCTTCTGGTATGGTTACTGAATTACCGTGCTTTTTTGCCTTATTCCGAATTTCTCAACCCTGCTCCTGAAGGTGCCATTTACGAAACGTTCAGCCCAAAAACTCAATTAACACGGTCCCAAGCCAGAAAACGATCATGTATTGACTCCGACCATGGAAGACTCTCAAATTAATTTTAATCAGTCTTTGAAAACTCTAGAGGCTACTGCACTGTTCAGAGCTATAATAAACCCGTTGTCAGCGGTTTTTTTGATATTTTAGAAGTATTTATTTATGACATATTATAATTTCAAATCACATCAAATATATCGGATAATTAATATTAGTTGTAATCGATTCAACCTTGAAGGCGTAGACATGTCTTTACTTTTTAAAGTAAAAATCAAGGACATATAAAAAAATAATAAAAAAAACTGTCATTTTTTGTAAATCGGACGTTCAATCCAGAAGAGAAGCATTTACGATGGATTTTTGTTTATAAACATTATAAGGTTAACGTCACATTCACCATTTTATGTTTATATTAATTTGTCATTTTATTTGACTATGTCACTACCAGCTTATCCAAGACATGGAAATTAAAAATCATAAATAACTCAATTCCAACCATTTTTGATTATCCATATAATGTAAATGAGAATGGGATGACAACAGTACAAAAACCAAATAAAGTAGTCGCTAAGGAAGGCGTAAAACAATAGAACAAAAGGTGAAGATGATGTGGATGAACACTGGTATGAGGAGAGCAAACATGATACAATTGATAGGGAATTGATAGGGAAAAAATGTGAGAATACTTTTTACTTGTTTTTCTCGAAAGAGTGGATAAGGATGTGGTTTCAAAGGATGCTATGGTAGGTTACCTTCCTCTACCAAATGCAGTAGGAAGCACTCCAAGAGCCAGAGGACCTTTAACTTTCCCTGTCGACTTAATTCGAGTATAAATTAAGTAGTATAAGTTTACAAGGTCGAGTTGTCTTTTTATTTTCCTAATAATACCTACTGGTTGTTATAAATTGAGCATATTTTTTTAATGTTTTTTATTAAAATAAATTTATCTAATTTAAGCTGTGACTAGTTTTCGCTATCTCTTTGACAACTGAACCCAGTCACAGCCCACAGTGGTCACAACTGTAATTTTTTTTTTCAAAAATCGCTAACCCCTATGTTTAAAATATTTGCCATAATTATGTTCCATGCAAAAACCTGCCTGAAACGGTACTGAAACCTAGTTGTCAATTTATGCAGAAAACAATTATTATTTAAAAAAATATTTTCAAAAAAGCTGCCCACCCCGCCTCGCTTTCCCCTACACATCACATGCACCTGTTAAGCACAATGCATAATGACTATTGACTAACGTTTCAGGTATTATGCGTAATTCCTGTTCCTCTGTTAGTTATTATCAATATTACCTAAACGTTTCCGTTATTATGCATAATAACTGAAAATTTCAGTTATTATGCATAATTCCTAATCTTTCCGGTTATTATGCATAATAACTGACAAGTTTAGTTATTACGCATAATTCCTAAAATGTCTAGTTATTATGCATAATAACGGATTTCGGATATTAGCTGTAACATATATATCCTTACAAACACGTGACTAATGCTACGCAACATGCCAATTACTCTATTTCACAAAATCCCCTGACTAGAAAAGAGATGAAACTATGCAATGTCTCTGTACACTAAGTAGAACTACATTTATCATTTTTTCGTAAAGTGTGGTCGTTTTTGTTTTTGTTGGGGTGTTTCTAACCGTGGTTCCTAATTATTATTCTCTATTTTTCAAAAACAACTTATTCTTTCTTATTATCTTATCAAAACTAATCCAGTTTATTATTTGTGTTGTTTGTTTGTAATCCATATACAAACTTGAAACCTAAAAGACAAGTAATTTAGCTGGTCCGCAAAATATGCAAACATAGCTTTTTCAATCACCGTTGTCACCCACTTCCAAAATTTTTCATACTCTTTTATATAAATTCTCATTTTTTGGCACTAAATTTGGTTCAGCTTCTGAAGCTTCATGCCATAATCCCTTGCATTATAAACTAGTATCATAATATGCTGTTACGAAATAAACGCATACGCGGCCCCAGTACGACACCTATGGGTTTTCTAGTATGTGCGGCAATGATCGGTGACTCATCGTCGGTGACGGCGGCCGGGCGGCGTTGGCTAAAGAAAAACCTGAAAGCGGAAGTCGCGATGGGTATTCCAGAAATACTTCGATCACGAAACCTCTAGAGGGGGAGTATGGGTTTAAATGAGTGAAATCAGTCAAGTTGCGCCGGAATTATTTTGTACATAATCGCTGTGTAATTAGTCATGTAAATTCGAGATACTAAGAAATAAATTGTGGAATTATACCCACACCGATTTAATTACCGATCTTCATAACAATACTATTCTGAACGAAACAGTTGATGGTCACAATTGGAGCTAAATAATTTAAAACTGTATGTACAAAGTGTATTCTGTTTTCTATTAACGAACACGTAGGTACGCATTTAATTTGATAATTTTTGATGAGAAAGAGCATTGATTTAATGTAATTCATGACGCTCAACAAAATCATGGCCTTTTGTCTATGATCTTACACAATATATCATAAAGTTTTTGTCATTTTACATCTGTTCGTGTTAAAATTCGATTTTTATTTATCAAAATTTCGTAGTAATTCGCATGAAATAAAAAAATTATTGATTCTAATTTCTAACAATGTAAATCTTACTCTACTAGTGTCTTTAAATTTAAAAAAAAAAAAATCCTTCATTGTTGGTTGCAGAGGTGTACTAGAATTTTCAACACGCCAGTTTTTTTATTATTGAAGATTTTAAAGTCAATGAGCGGCAAAGTTGTGGATTATGGTCTATATTTTTTGTAATGAAGAAGTTTTTCACAAGGATCTTTGTCTTTGAGGTAAAAATGTTCAAACCGGAGCAATGTCTCGAAAATAACACTTATGTATGACAATATTTTGAAATGTAGTCAACACTTTTGTGGTTCGGATAATTAAACAAATATTGGTTAGCGTCTTCTCTTAAGAATGAAAAATAATAATACCACAATCCAGAATAAAAATTTAAAGTCTATAAAGCTAAATTCTCATTTGAACTTATTTATTATCTTATTATTATCTTATATTATTAAGTATTTATTATGTCACAAACAAATATCCCAGTGGAACTCACGTATGTTTGTATTTCTTAAATTAGATACTCGATCATGGAGAATACTCAAGAGTCACTTGACGAAAGAAGACGACGACTTCTAGAAGAACTTCAGCTTCTAGACCAACAAATAGCAGAAAGCTCAGGATTCCAGCAGCAGCCAGCACCAAAACAAGATGTAAGTTTTTTCGTTGCTATCAAGATGCGATTTTAGTCGAGTTGAAATTTTGTTTGTACGTCATTACTTGTTATAAACCGTTCAGGAAGTTTTTAGACAAATGTGAGCTATGGAATGTTTTTTCACGTTGGATAAACTGACTCATTGACAAAATAGTGTGTCTGTCTCTGTCAGTGTGGGAGGCTGACGTTCACTTAACGCTGGTTTGCCACATTTCTTGTTATTTAGAAATCATATTATCAAGTTCCAACATTTCTGAGTCATTCAAATTGAAAACGCCGAAAATTATTTTGTTACAACAAAAAATTTCAATAAAAAGGTGTTATCTGCAAATGAACAAAGATAGTTCTCAACTCAAGCTTGCAGTTTACAATTTTTGAAAGATATAAGAACCCTTGACTAAACAGATATATGTACTTAAATTAAGCGATAAATAGATACCTATCATTATTATCTTTCTTTTGTTTACACTGATTTTTTTTTATCAGGAATGCCTCTATTGCAAATGATTGTACTAGTGTAAATAACTTGACGATTACATTTTGTAATTTTAATTATTTTGCAGACAAAAAATAATTTGTTTCAAAAGATTCCAGAAACTGAAAGTACACAGCAGGCGCCACAAGAAAATATAGAGGTGAATAATGAAAATCAGCAGTTGCAATCAAACACCAGTCCACAGGCGGATCAAATCTCTTCAAACGAACCAGAAACAGATGTGAGTACTTTTAACATTCATGGAATGATTCTTACGGTAAAGCAATTTTTTAATTCCGAACTGAGTCAAGCTTCGTATGTTACTTGTTTAGTTATCAGAGAAAAAGTAATTTTTAGTTTAAAATATGAGCAAATGTTCATGTTTTCACAAATTGTCATTTTCATTATATCTTATATTCTATTATTATCTTTCTTTTAATACAATTTTCAAAATTAAAGATGGTTTCCATTTTGGCTCGTTCTCTTGCACTGCTTTGATACATATTTTCTGTAACGTATGTTTAATAGAAAATATTTGCAATTTTACTGTGATATATCTATAAACGTAATCTTTCAGGTTCAACCAACGGTTTCTTCAAATTTTTGTTTTTATGAAAAAAGAAAGGGAGTAGTAGATCTCGGCAGAGGGTACGAATACCTGACATGCGCACTCTATGCTCTGAAGTTCGGTTTAGACGAAAATGTTTCTGATTTCCGCATGACCACCAATAATAAGAAATGTGGCGATTTTGATGACATCGAAATTGAAGCGACTTTTAAAAATGGTAAACGGTCGACTTTTCTTTTCCAATTAAAGCATAAATTTAACAAGGACTACATTACCGAAGGTTTGTTGACAAACGAAAACATCCACAAAAATAAGAAACAACAAAAGAGTAAATTCTATTTACCTCATTATTTACAATCTATTTCCAATTTTGAGAAACAGGATGAAGATCTTCACTTTATTCTCTATACAAACAGCCAAACCGCCATTCGAGACGGCTCTGTGTTATCTTTTAACAAAAAGTACACATCGTTGTTAGTAGAAGATTGTAGCAACCTGGAATACAAAGAATTATTGGTAAATTCTGACGACGATAAGAATAAAATCTTTAAGGTGAAACCAAACGGTGACTCTGAAACAGAAGAACTGAAAAGCGTGGCGAACGTCTGCAGCAAGTTCTATTTTTTCACAAATCAGGATGATGTTGAAAGCGTAAAAGGAAGCCTTAAAGTAAAGCTCGACAATTTGCTACAAAGTCAATACGACATTTTGGACCCTTTCTTACAATTTATGGAATATTGGTGGTCGGAAAATTTTGTTTTAACAAAACACTTATTGTTAGTCAAGTTAACCGAACTAGCACTATCACCTTACATAAAAACATTAACTGGGAAGAGAACTAGTGAGAAAACCGATTTGCTAAAACAAGCGATAATGGATTTCGAGATGACGATTGTCGGTAAAAATCAAGAAGATATAGTTGTCAATATGTGGAAAGAAGTCGAAGAAAATAACGACTGTAACACATCCCCTCTGGATCAATACGCACAGCAACGTAAAACTGAATTAAGCAGCGTACAAAAGGCAAAAATTTTATGGCATTGGGGAAAAATCCCTCTTATTATTACGGTTGATAAATCTAACGCGAATGTAGTAAAACGAGTGATGAAACTTTTGCACAAATCCTTACAAAATAAAAAAGTTCTTTTGTTGACTGACGATTCAAACTACCAGTTTCACGGTTGGTCTATTTTTAAAACTTTATCTGACATAATCGAAAATCACCCAAACGAAGAATATTGTTCCAATATTAAAAATAAATTTAATGTTTCTCTGCAAGGCAGAAACTATATTCCTTTAAGCCATTTATTGCAGACTGACTTAAATATTGCTAGGCACGTCAGAACTGAAGATCTATTTGTCATGTCTCAATGCCAATATATGTTAATTGGTAAACAAGTGGAAGAACCACCCGATCTATATATCCCGAGAACTGTGTATGCAAATTTTATCAATATTCAAGACATTTTTAAACTTGCAGGCTTAATGAGAAGTAACGCAATTATTATTAACTGCGATAAAAGTTTTACTAATATGTTGGTTAAATATTTTGAAGTCATCGAATTATCTGATTACTTATCTACAGAAATTGTAAAGTTGAATAACAATTGTATTTTTGTTTCTACGGAAAGTAAATGTGGTGATAACAAATTTGATGAATTTTGTGACAAATCTAAAAAACAGAACGTTTATTTGTTACAAGTAGTCGACCAAGAGTACTGCACTTTAATAAGAAGAAAAGGAAAACAAGCCCCATTTCACTTTACACGAAAATATACAGAAGAAGCTAATATATTTGCCAGTTTTAAAGACCTGTTAAATGTTTTTTGTGCACCCCCAGGTATGGGAAAAACAAGTTTATTCAAAATTTTAAATTACAATTGTCCACGTGATTGTTGGGCAATTAATATTGATTTGATTAACTACAATTCGGTTTTTGCAAAAGGGTCAAATCTCCGAGAGTTGTTACATTATTTTGTCGAAGTGAAGGATAGTCAAGATGACCTGCTTACAAAACACATTATAAGTACTTTGTTAAGGAACAAAAAAATCCATGTATTTTTTGATGGATTAGACGAAGTGCATAGCAATTACGTTAAATTGGTCATGGACTGCATACAGCACTTATTCGCAGAAGGTGTCAATGTTTGGGTTACTTCAAGAGAAAACTTGCGCGAACAACTGTCCCAAACGTTAAATATTGTGCCAATCGAAATAGAAGAAATAAGACGAAACGAACAAAAAAGTTACATCTACGATAGGTTGATCGGCAAATACCAACCTGAAGAAATACAAAAAATCTCAACTGCAATGTCTAACAGTGTTGATCTTAACAGAAGTCAAGCATTGTTGGGAATTCCGCTGCAACTCTATATAATAACAGAAATGTTTCTCAACAATAAACAATTATACGAAGACTTGATGCAAGAAGGTTTATTTGTATTAACTAAGATGTACCGCATGTTTTTCGACGGAAAAATAGAATCCTGTTATAAGAAAGTTATAGGCGGCAATCAAGAACATCAACTAGGAGTTATCCGACTTCTTTTAAAGCAGTATGAACTTGTATCTGTTAAAACATGTCTCGACTCCTCAGATTTTGAGAAATTGACGTTAAATACCCAAGAGTCTCAAGAGTTTATCGATGAGTTAAAAAGTAACGGTGACAAATACGGAATAATTAAAAATATCAACGAATATGAAGAAGTTGTATTTAATCACCAAACGTACGCAGAATATTTCGCTTCGGTTTGGTTCAAGAAACATCAAGACAAAGTCAGATTGCTTGGAGGAAACTTTTTTTCTATAAGGTACGAAAATTTGCGAATCATGTTTAATGTAATGATGGCCGAAAAGAACCCATTGCATCTGGCCGTAATTTATAAGGATATCCACCAGTGTGAAAAACAAATTGAAAACGTTGGTACTAAAGACGAAGCTGGTCGTAACGCTTTACACATCGCATGTTCTTATGGAATGAATTATCCTGAAGATAAAGAAAGGATAAATCGCGAATCTACAACATATACAAAAATTATAGCAATGCTTTTCGGAAAACCAGAAATCAAATTCAAAATAGCCGAACGCGACGATTTATTTAATTTCGACTGTCTGGAATATGCGTTAGCATCGAAATGTTTGTATGTGATAGAAACATTGTTTGAAAAGTCATTATTAACTTTTCAGGGGTTGCAAACTTCAGTTTTTCAGTTTTATGATGAAAAAGCGTTGGCCTATTACGCGGCACAGATGGGTTACTTTAATTTGTTTTTTGATATTACCACATCCAATCCGAACATTAACAAAAAACAAATCCATCGTTTATTGTGCACTGCAGTTTTAGGCGCTGAAGATGATGTCGGTACAATAGAAACGCCGAGAGAAGGAAATATAAAAATTGTTGAATTACTAATAAAAGGTGATGTATATTTAAACAAAATATACATGGAAACAACTATTCTGGATGACGCATATGATGATAAACTAGTGGACATGTGGCAGGTTTTAACAGAAAATGGTGCAAAGTCTGCCGACGGCGATACCATTTTACATAAATTATTGGACGATGAAGATGACATTGAAGCAAACGAAGAATTTATAATATATTTGTTAGACAACTGGAACGTGAATGTAAACGTACGAAATATACAATGTTTGACTCTACTAGATAAAGCATGTGAGAAAGGTAGACATGAAATTGTAAAGAAACTGTTTGAAAAGGGAGCTGATGCAAAAATTTTAGCCTGGTTTATCCTTAACTTGTTAGATTATGCTAAGGTAAAAGGTCAAGCTGTTGAAACAATGATGGACATCCTGATAAATCATGGTGTCGACATCAATGAGAAAAATGTTTTTAGATTTTCACTCTTAGACAGAGCATGTGAGGAGGGTAATATTGAACTAGTAGCAGCAGTACTTAACAAAGGTATAAATGTAAATAATTTGAACCGATGTTATTTTCATGGCAACGCATTACATGTCGCATTATCAGCAGAAGACGAAAATGTTGAAATAATGGAATTACTGTTACAGAGTGGTATAGATATCAATTTACAGAACAAAAAAGGACAAACACCCCTTCATATCGCTTGCCAAACTTGTAAATATCATTCTACACAATTACTACTTACAAATGGGGCTGAGATTAATACCGTGGATGTCAAGAACAAAAACGCACTACATTATGCGGCAAAAAATTGGGAAGAAAACAGAGAAATTATATTTTTACTGATTGAGAATGGAATCGACGGTAATTGTGAAAGTAATGATGGATCAGTAGCTCTACAACTTGCAAGAGAAAATAACGATAATGAAATCGTTGAAAAACTACTTCAAAATGACTCGGTTGTAAATCTGGATAAAAACAACCGATCATCTGGACATACCTTCGAGGAAAGATCTGATATTTATAGCGTTGTGAATTCGAATCTGTCCAGTGTGTTCCATTTGGAAAGAGGGAAGCTTCAACATACCTACGAAACAAATGCAAATTTGAACAATATTGTTTACCCAAATGATCTAGTGATAATATTCAATCGACAGAGTAAGTACTTTTATCTAGATTTGGAAAACACAATACTTCTTGGTGAAGTCGGTTTTGATGCTGATCGACAAGGAATTACTGCATTACAAATCGCCTGTTATGAAGGAGATTTCGAAATGGCAGAGTCGTTGATGAAAGTAGGTGCAAAAGCGAAAGTCGTGGATAATGACGGTAATACGGCATTACACTACGCTTCTGTTTCAAATGAAGATAATGAAGAAATAATACTGCTTCTTATAATTGATGGGGTTGATGTAAATGCTCAGAATAAATATGGACAGACTCCTCTACAACTTGCATTTTTGCGAGGTCATTCTAATAACATATTAGAGTTATTTACGTGTGGAGCAAAATTTGATATTGAAGATAAAAAAAATAATACTCTCCATTATGCATTAGTGGACCGAGATGATGTTGAGAACATCATATTAAGCTTGTGGACTGATGACCGTCTTGACATTAATTGTCAGAATCAGTATGGAATAACACCATTACATATTGCATGTGAATGTAGTGAACCATATGTCGCTGCAATGTTAACACACTTTGGAGCGAATGCTTCTGTTTTAGACAGCAATAAAAACAATGTTTTGCACTACCTTATGCGATCTGAAGGTGATGAGGACGATTTACACATGATGTTAGTGGTATTTTTAGATTTAAACATTTTTGACATTAACACCCAAAACATCTACGGGACAACAGCCTTACATCTTGCTTGCCAATACTGTCACTACAAACTTGCTAAAGTGTTACTGTTAGAGGAAGCTAAAGTTGATATTTTAGACAACGACAACAACAGTGCATTACATTACGCAAGTTATTCGAATAAAAGCAATGAAAAACTGATACGTCTTTTATTACGACGGGGTCTAAATATTAATGTACCAAATAAAAACGGAGTATCACCATTACATCTTGCTTGCAACTGTGGCAATTTAGAAACTGCACAAATTCTACTAGCAAACGGAGCTAACATCAACGACGTTGACTATAACGGAAATAACGCACTACACTATGCATCAAGTTCGACTGATACAAATACAAATCTGATAACATTGTTACTAGTTAATGGCTTAAATGTAAACTGCGTGAATAAATACGGTGCCTCCCCATTACATTTTGCACGTAAAAGTGATAACATAGACGTACTGTTGAAGGCAGGTGCTCAACTGCAATCGTTAGATAACAATAACAATAACATTTTGCATTACGTTTCAAGAACGACAGATAAAGTTATAGAGTTATTAAACTATTTATTATCTGCAGCAGACTTTAACGTAAACGCTCAAAATAACTGTGGAACGACTCCATTGCAACTGGCATGCAGAAGTGGTAACTTTTTGTTCGTCAAAGAATTATACGAACATGGAGCTGAATTAAATATTTTAGATAATGACAAGAAAAGTGCACTCCATTATGCTTTGGAATCTTCAGAACAGAATAATAATTTAATTAATTACTTAATTTATAACGGTATTGATGTCAACGTTCAAGACGATCACGGAAAAACACCACTGGAACTTGCATGTTCAACAAATAATTATCAGGTTGTCGAAACGCTGGTCGAATTTGGTGCTGGTGCAGAAATGTCTTGAAATTTATACAGCTTCGTTTAAGTTATGCTTCAAATTATGTAGAACACTTAAGTAGATGAACAAAATTAGTTGTATGTTTAAACGTTAAGCATATATTTTAATTTCGCTCTTTTTACTTATATGGTTGAAAAAATTGTAGCAACAGACGGTTTTATTTATTTTTTTTTAATTTTAGCCTCACACTTTTAAAAAACTTTAAATAATTTAAAAATACTCATGCGCAGAGAAATTTGACAGCTAGAACCTTAGAACCAAAAATATATAGTCATTGCACGGTTTTGTTTTTTTTTACGTTGTTGCCTACAGATAAACTTTATTAAATATTAACATAGTGCCATCTTTTTAGAACATTTCTTCCTTTAGGTGATATTTCCTTCTCTTGCCGAGGTATCTACCCATACAATTTAATTTTATCCATTCGATAAAATTAGCAGTTTCCATAAAATTTGTTTTTATTCACTTGTGTCCTAAATATCTACTTTCGCAATTGGTTTGTAATCACGTTTGGTGCCTATGCTTTTTGTAGAAGTACCCTGCATAATTTGGATCCGGTACTCACTTCTGTCTCACTTTTGTCACACATGTCATTGATTTTTTAATCATAAATATGTTTTTCATCTAAGAGTAGAATACTAGGAGTGTTTAATAGCTTAAGTTTGAAGTGTTCTAAATATTCTTGAGAAATGAATTTTTATAAGATGTTAACAAAACTTTCATTACTTAACTTTTACAAAGTGAGCAACAAATATTTATGCACTTATCTGAAGCTTTTACAACAGTGAGGACACATTGTATTAATAGAACGTCCTCATAGCAAACATTTATAGATTTATTTGTTACATATGTATCTATATAAAATACTGTATTTTTCTATAGTAGAACTGTGTTAACGTTCGTAAGTGTACATTTTTTAATAATATTAATAAATTGTGACTCGAGTCTTATAATGACAACAAATTTTATTATCTTATATATGATTTAAGTAACTTGCAGTTTATTTTTGTTTTAGGTTGATTTGATAAAAATAAAAATTATAAATAAGTTTTCCTTTAACCATTATTTGTCTTGATTTGTAAAAATTTGTCTGATATTATTATCATATTTTTGTATTAATTTAAGTCACCCGTTTTACCATTGTTTCATTATAGTGACAATTTTTTGCATCAGCCACAACAAAGCATGGACCTAACGACCTAACCATATTAGGGTACAATTTTTTAGAATCACTGATTAAACATAAACAGGAGACGTAAGTACCAAGGCTTTTAGAATATTTTGAACCCCAGGGAAAATACCTACTGGTCTAAGATTATTAACACAGAATATTCGTTCAGAATACATGTCCGACTAACGACACTGGCAAACAACATTAAATGTTAATATGTTACACATAGTGAATCTGTTGTTGATAAAATTTTAAAGAAGTTGAAGCCGTTAATCTTCCTCATCTATCCATCGTCTTGTAAGTATAATTAACACTTTTGCTTTCTGTTCTCCTTCCCATTATTTATTCTCACCTCTCCAATATAAGAATAACTAAGCACAGTGGCGTAACTACCGGTGTTCCGCGTGTTCGGCGGAACACGGGCCCGCTGCTCCAAGGGGCCCGGTCCGGTCACACGAACATTTTTTTATTAGATTTTTTTTATATTATTGCCCAAACTACATTCTGAAATAAAAAATTCGAAAATGTGCGGTAATCCCAGGATCGATGGTCGATTGCTATTTACGAATTTTTTGCTGCAAAGGGCGGCATCTCAATATCATAGACTCAATAAACTCGGGTTTTAGCGACCGGCACCGGCGGTCGAAAATGCAGGAGCATCTGTTTGTAATAAACCTGTCGCAGTGTCGCAATCCCATTGTAGCAAATCTAACACCCCATGTAGTAAATTACCTATCTTTATCCGACAAAAGTATGACTAGGTAATTTATGATGCAAGACAATAAAATACTTAAATTTTGTCCTCAGTTCTACAGTGAAACTTCATGCTGTAATAAAACATGAAAAAAAAAATCAGTTTCAGTTGTGTTTTATGAAAATTTTCGTATTTTCAAAACTATTTTAATTTTGTTCTTGTGGTGCTTTTTTGGAATAATAAAATATATCTGACGTATGTTACAACTAATTTTTTAAGTAGAAAAAAAACTGGACTGGGAAATTATTACAGAATGACCTACCTGTAATAGTAGTGTCACTGAAATTATCACAGCATGTTTCACTTTTCTTACAATACCTCTTTCGATGGTTTCAGCGGAAAGATCTTTTTCGAAATTAAAAATGACTAAAAATTTTTTAAGAAACAATGAGCCAATGCAGATTACCTTCATTGAATCTCTCAAATGGAAATCAAATTGCTAGAAGCTTAGATGTGTCAAATTTTGTATCAACTTGTGCCCATTGAAAAGCAAAAAGAAAACAATTTTGAGATTAAAAAGAAATTGGCATTTTATCTATACTTCTATACTTCTATAATTACTTATATTATAAAGTTGAAGAGTTTGTTTGGTTGAACGCACCAATGTCAGAAACTACTGATTTGAATTCAAAAAATCTTTTTGTGTTGGAAAGTCCGTTTATCGAGGAAGGTTATAGGCTATATAACATCACCCTATGATTAATAGGAGCGGAGCAGCAATGAAAAATATCGGAAAAACGGGAAAATTATTCTTCCTTTGACAGCTTCCGTTGCTTACGCTGCTTATTAAACGGTTAAAGTTACATAAAAATCATGTATGATGGAATTGTTCCCTTCTAAAAGTTCTAAAAAAAAGTCCGCGACAGCATACGTCAATCTTTTAAGGTCGACTCAGTATAACCTTTTTTATGGTAATGAATTTTTTTCTAAAATAATTTAATATAAAATTCTGGTGTCACAGTGTTTGTAACCAATCTCCTCCGAAACGCATTGACCGATTTTTACTAAATTTTTTGTGTATATTCGGTAGGTCTAGTAAACTATTTTTTAAACCCCTAAGTGATAAGGGTGACCCACCAAACTTTTTTTATTTTTTAGACAACATTTTTTATTTTTATTTTTTTAAGATTTGGCATCAAAAAATACATATAACCCTAAATTTTGACCCTCCTACCACCAACCCCCATTTTTTAATAACGATATGAGTATCTTTGCTTTCATCCACAGATGCGCAATAGGGTTGCAAGATGGCCGTTGAATATAAATAATCATTGTCGTACGATAAATTTTTATGTATTTATTTTAATTTAATTTTTTATTTAACTATGTACCAAAATATTCACTAGAAATGCCAAAACAACGTTTGCCGGGTCGGCTAGTTTCTAATATTGTATATATTTTAATTATATGTCTTCAGGTAATTATTGTATTTTATTTTTTTAATTCAATGTTTCAGGTAGAATGATTTTAATAAAACGTTAGCGCTAATTGCAATCTACTCATTCTTTATTCATTATACTCGTATTTTTAAATATTTTTATTTCGCTGTTCATTAGGGGCCCCACAGTGTTGTAGAACACAGGCCCGCAGTTTGATTGTTACGCCACTGACTAAGCAGTACGATTTCATGAAAGGTCGGGACAGTTACTGATCTCACAATATTTTCTCAGTTTAAATCTGGCCTTCGACCGTATTAGCATTGTTTAATTTAAGTATATTATAGTTGGACAACCTATACGGACAATCACTTTCCTATGTAGAAAAGAATGAATATACATTTTACATCTCACTCGCTTCACTATGAAGTGGCGGTACCTTACGAAAGGGGGTAAAAATAGTCTGTAAGCACATGATGTCGATAAGGTTGTAAACGGACGTATTAATCAGTACGTTGTACGGGGAGCAGTCACAAAATAAGCAAACGTACGTGTTGAAGACTTTACATATATGTAATATATGTATATGTAGTGCATACCTGTTTCATGTGTGTGGTACCACCTATATTTGCACAAAAACAAATAAAGGTTAAGGTAATAAAAATTTAATATTATCGCGGTATATTATCCATGAACTGCATGGCTAACAAATATGCGTCCCTTCGTCCACTTTAAAGGCACGAAATTAAACGACCACCACTTTAATTAATAAGTAACAAGTCATTTAATTTGCCTCCAGAATAACTATGGGTTATCATCAAACTATGAACACCAAATTAATTCAATATGAACATCTTACGTATTTTTTTTTATTAATAGTAGTCAAATCATTAAATACATATTATCTTTGAAACTAAAATGCATTTTATCACAAATTGTTTACCACCATTTAAATACGATTTAGACATCAAGAAATAAATTTTAAATCGCAAAAATTAAATTTAGCAAACTTAAAACAACCTTAAATGCGTCTTGTATGTACGTGCTTATCAATATGTAGGCATTTTAACGCACAGCAATAATCGTTCTTGATGAGTAATGACTGATGACTATTCTACTGTAACACAGTAAATCCTCGAAATCGAAAATTTAAAACATTGGAAAATTCAAATATGGGAAAATTGTAAAATCGAGAAATCGAAACATAAAAAAATCAAAAAAACAAAAATTGGAAAATCTAAAATTTAAAAATCGAGAAATTGAACAGTAAGTTAATTCAAAAACCGAAATATCGAAAATTGGAAAATCGAAAAAAAAATTGGACAATCGAAAATTTAAAAATTCCGAAAATTGAAAAATTGAAATATAGAAGAACTGAAAACTCAAAAAATCGAAAAAAATTAATAATTTAAAAATTCAAAAGTTAAAATTGGGAAATCGAAAAACTGAAAAATCACAAAATTGAACGAAATATCCAAAAATTAGGAAATTAAAAAATTGAGAAACAGAAAAGTCAAAAAAGCAGAGTCGAAAAATCGCAAACTTAAAAAATCTAAAAATTGAAAAATCAAAAACCTGAATAATCGAAAAATTGAAGAACTGAAGAACTGAAAAATCGAAACTTTAGGAAGTGGAGGAATGGAAATATAAAAAAATAGATTAATTGAGAAATCCGAAAACTAGAAATTCAGAAACGCCAAATTTGAAAAATAAAAAAATATTAAGAAGAACTGAAAAATCGAAAAATCTAATATTTAAAACATTGAAAAGTTAAAATATCCTAAAACTGAAAAATGGAGAAATCCAAACATCAAAAATTCAAAAAAATAAAAATTCGAAAATCTAAAATTTAAAAATCGAAAAACTGAAAAATCATCGAATCGAGAAGTCGAAAATTTAAAAAATTGGAAAATTGAAAAATCGGATAAATCAAAAATCGAAACATCGAAAAATCGAGAAACCGAGAAGCAAAAAATCGAAAAACCAACAAATCGAAAAATCGGAACATTGTAAAATTCAAAAATTGAGACATCGAGAAATCGAAAAGTCAAAAGACAAAAAAATCGAGGAGTCGAACAATCGAGAAGTCGAAAAATCGAAAAATTGAGAAACCGAAATAGGCCAAAATCGAAAAATCGAAAACTTAAATATGGAAAAATTGATAAAGCGAGAGATTGAATAATCAAAACATCAAAACATCCGAATCTCAATAAATTGAGATCTCAAAAAATTTAAAAATTCGGAAATTTGAACAATTAAAATATAGAACTGAAAACTCGAGAAACAGAAAAATCTAGAAATTTAAAAATTAAAATATGGAAAAGTTGAAAAATTGAAAAATCTAATGTATAAAAAACGAAAAACTGAAAATCCAAAAATGAAAAGTAGAAAAATCTAGAAGTCGAAAAATCAAAGAATCGAAGTATTGAAAAATATCAAAACTGAAAGAAATATCCAAAAATTGAGAAATCTAAAAACCAATAAAGCGAAGTCGAAAAATCGAAGAATTGAAGAACTGAAAAATCGAAATTTTGAGAAGTGGGAAAATCAAAAATAGATTAATTGAGAAATCAGAAAACTGAAAATTTAACGCAAAAATTTGAAAAATTGAAAAATTTAAATACTGAAGAACTGAAAAGTCAAAAATCGAGAAATCGAAAAATCTAAAATTTAAAACATTGAAAAATTAAAATATCGCAAAATTGAAGAATCGAGAAATCCAATTCAATTTGAAAAATTGAAAAATGGGTCATTGAAAAACCGAAAAATCCAAAAATCTAAACATCGAAAAATTCAAAAACTGAGACTTCGAGAAATCGAAAAATTGGAGGATCGAGAAATTGAGGAGTCGGAAGCCGAAAAGGAAAGTTAAAAATTGAAAAATTGAGAAATTGAACAATCAAAACCATGAAACATCTGAATTCGATAAATTGAGAAATTAAAAAATTGAATAATCGAAAAATTTTAAAAAAGAAAAACTGGAAAATCGAAAATTAAAATTAAAAAAAATCGAAAAATTGAAAAATTGAAATATAGAAGAATTGAAAACTCGAGATATCGAAAAACCTAGAATTTTAAAAAATGAAATATTAAAACATCGAAAAGTTGAAAAATTGAGAAATCGAAGCATTAAACAGTCGCAGAATTGAAAAATTTAAAGTTTAAAAATAAAAAAAAATCCATCAATTCAGAAATCGAAAAGTCGAAAAATTGAAATATTGAAAAATCTCATAACTGAAAGAAATATTCAAAAAACTGAGAAATTAAAAAATTGGAAAATTGTCTGTAGATCAAACAAGTTCTCAAGCGACGAAAAATTGCACGTGGAGGGAGACTTCGGATTACAAATCGTGCCAAGAAAGACATATTTGGGAGAGATGGATTTTCAGGTGCTTGACTAGCGGTAATTTTAAATTGTTTGCTGTCGTTCGCGAAGTGAAGAACACAACTTCATTAAAATGATAATTATAAAATTATCATAATCACTATTGGTATTAATTAACACAAAATGGCGCGCAAGTTATCAGTTGATTTCGTTAATAAATTCATAGAAACCTATATGGGATTTTTCATGCCTTTGAAAATTAAAAAGTAAAAAATACAATAACAAAAATTTTAAAGTGCGGTTTACGAAAAATTAGTTGACCTGTGCAAAGAAGAAAATTTTGGAAACGCTGACAAATATGACATCTTAAAAAAAATAACACTTGAAGAAGTGCTTTCGGGGTAATATTTTTGATGCTCGCGTGAACAAAATACTCTATGTCATTGTGCAGTGCGCAAAGAGTTAACTGTGCAGATCTAGCCGAAAATCCGAAAACCAGATCGCTGTGTGCAGGGCCAGCATAACGGAAGTAATAAATCATCCCATTGGTTGAAGAACGTTGGGTCGGTGCACTGATGTCGATGTTATATCCCGAGAGGGGCCCAATACACCCAATAAAATCGAACAGACAAAATAAAGCTTCAAACATGATTATTTTTTTATTAAAATTCTGAAGTTTATAAATTGCACATTTTATTTATTTATTTATTTATTTATTTATTTATTTATTTATTTATTTGATCTTGTTTTCGAAATATAATAAACATTTCAAACAATGTCTGTAACTTATTTTAATGTAAATTATATTCATGTGGTTAACAAAATCAGATGTAATATTAGTGTGATTTTGACCTTATTCTAGATTTTATTACAGCAGAACGGCGTGTCCTTTTTAAATTTTAGAAGTTACGGAAACTAGTTCAAGAAACAATTAGTTATCTCGTATTTTTGAAACAAAATCTACCAAAACGTCGGATAACAGCAACTGATTTTCATTGAAACAAACAGTCTTTAAAGCAACCTTTAACAACTCGATATTATAAACATGCCTCTTAAGTTCTTCATGCGTTTTTTTCTGTCTTGTAATTATTTGTAATGTCAACGCCGAAAGTTTATGTCATTCTGTTATTTACTTTGAATATATATTTTCATTTTGTGTTAATATTTTTGTAACACCACGAATCTAAATTTTACTTAAAATCTTGTTTTACTTTAATCTTGTAAAACTAAACAATTATATCAGTTTAAAAACCCTTGGTAAGTTTCTGTCAGTCTTCAGATATAGTCAAATAAAAATAGGCGTCAAATTCATTTAAATACAATTCTTTCGTATCACGTTACAACGCGTTGCTTCATATTTTTTATGTCAAGTATATTTTCATATTTTGTATATATGTTTATACACATTACTGTTTACGGAACAATGTTAATTATGGATTTATGGATAACTCCTCGTATAAGAGTAGAGTGAAGGGTGTTTGCCTTTGCTAATGTTTGATGGCGCCATCTGATGTAGAGTAAAATAAATCTAATACGTTGGCTCACTGTAGTGAAAATGCGCGTTGACGAAAAATTTGTCCCACGCCCCCTGGATTCCTTGTCCTAAAGCTCACTATTTAGGCGAAGTAAAATTTGTATTAGGTTGTCCAACTATAATATACTTAAACAATGGTATTAGCCAACAGTTATCCTATCGCAATGGGCACGGTTTTCAAGGCAATGTGACGTCACGTGGCTGGTGCGCAAAGCAAACGAAAATTCATCCACCGGAGCAGTGAGTATAGATGTTAAATACATAGCATTGATTAAATACTACATACTCACTGACCGGAGTATGGATCAAACGCGCCGAGTTGTCCCTACTGAATGATCTCTATACTGTGCTTTGACTCTGCATTTTGTTCCCAACTTTTAGGCAACCAGTAATACTCAACACCAAATAAAATACCAAACACAAATAAAACCCACATAAAACGTAAATATATATTAAAACTTGTAAACCCACAAACAAAATCCGTACAAAATCAAACCCCCAATTCCTTAATCAAATTCCCGGCAATCACCAGCTTTTGAATCTCGCTAGTCCCTTCATAAATCTCCGTTATCCTGGCATCCCTATAAAACCGCTCAGCCGGCATATCTGAAACATACCTACACCAAAAAATGCAACAACCTTCACCCACAAAACTCACCCCATCCCCCCCAAGATCTGTATACACTGATGACTCAAGAAAGTCGCCGCCTCACTCGCCGCCAACTTCGCCATCGCCGCCTCTTTGGTATAACTCTTGTGATTATCCTTAAGCCAAGCGGCCCGCCAGGTCAACAGTCGAGCGGACTCCAACTGGACCGCCATTTCCGCCAACTTGTTCTGAATCGTCTGGAGCTTGAGCAACGGTTTTCCGAAAGCCAGTCTCTTAGCAGCGTACTCTGCTGCCACTTCCAGGGACGCTTGAGCGATCCCTAGGGCTTGCGCCGCAATCCCGATCCTACCAGCATCCAGAGTCATCATGGCGACTTTGAAGCCTAAGCCTGGTTGGCCTAGGAGGTTGATTTTAGGCACTTTGCAGTCTTCGAATATGAGTGAACACGTAGAGGAACCTCGGATTCCTAGTTTATCTTCTTTTTTTCCTAGTTCTAGACCTTGGATAGGCTTTGGCACGATGATGGCAGATATGCCTTTGTGTTTCAGGTTTTTGTCGGTAGTGGCGAGGACTATGGCGGCTTCGCTTTCGAAACCGTTGGTGATCCATGATTTGGTACCGTTCAGGATCCAGTCTGAACCGTCGGATTTGGCGGTGGTGGAGGCGGCACCTGCGTCTGAGCCGTTTCCGGGTTCCGAGAGGGCAAAACAGCCAACCTGAATAAAAAAAAAAAAAACTAAAAAGTGTAGGGTTTCAACAAAATGAAGCTCCACCGCATTTTATTAATTAATTAATTAATCTAAAAAGTGTAATAGCATTTTAATACTAAAACTGTAAACTTGGGAAACTAAAAATATAAATATTAATAACCTTATCACCATTCGTGAACGGCGTGATATACTGTTCTTTCTGCGCTTCACTCCCAAACTGCAGAATCGGACCTAGATACAACGAATTATTAACGGACATAATAACACCAGTACTGGCACACCCTCTGGAAATTTCCTCCATTGCGATAGCATACGCCACGTAATCTAAACCGGTGCCCCCATACTTCTCCGGTATTGCTACAGCCATGAGCCCCAATTCCCCCATTTTCTTTATTTGTTCCTTAGGGTAGAAGTGCTCCCGATCGATTTTTGACGCAATGGGTTTGAGTTCGTTGTCTGCGAAGTCTCGGCAGGTTTTCTGGAGCATTTGGTGGGTTTCGGGGAGGGCCCCCAAGGTGGCTATGCCCCTTGTTTTGAAGTGGTGGCCTGCACGTTTTTATCATTGTTTTGGTTAACTGAAATGTTAACTTACTTTTTGTGATAATTCTGCCGAATAAAGCCATTGTGGTAAAGAACTGAACTTTGCTCAATTTAAATTAGCTTTGTTTACTAGTGGTTCAAGGTTAAGTAGGTTGTCAAAGTGTGATTGTGACGGATGACAGTTGTGGTTGGTTCAAAGTCCCTATGTTTAGTTTGTTTAGTAATTTGTGGGCCTTGAGGTTAGTGTGTTTTCTAGGCATTGGCGGCGCTAAGTTTGGATTTTCGGGGTATACAGTGTTCACAAAATAAATTAATATTGTTTCTAGTTTCTCGAATTGTATTTTTTAAATTGTTATTATAAAATAAATACCTATCTATGAGTAAAATACAAATTTTAGATATTGTAAATAAAATATTTTCAGTGAATATAATTTTGAAATGAATACTATTAAGGTACGCCACTGAATCCGCAGCCATATTGAAGTTTTCATGCATTTTGGCGCGGGATCGCTTATTTGAACTTTCACTCCCTCCTTTATATTAATTTGTCCATGATCTTGATACTTTCTATGAATTATTATTAGGATAAACTTGACAAACTTACTGCAAGTTTTGTACAAAATTCCAAACTATTTCTTAGAATAACGCAAACCAATAGATAAAGATAAGAACCCTAAATTATTAATAGAGACGATAGCCTAATCAAGGACAATTGACAAAAACAAATTGTTAGTTACGCCAGAGGATTACATAACAGCAACAAATCTCAGCTTATCTGCACAACGTGATTTGTGACCACACACGTCTTCTCGTCTATGTAATAAAGACTAAATCCACGCTTTATAAATTAGTGAAGTCTGGTGTTGTAACTAGTTCAAATAAGATATGATATTAGCTGCACTCTTGCATTAAAATGACTAACTCGTTTTTGCTAATCTCAGTAACAGTACTTGCTACATTAACATGGCAAGGCCAGTGTGCGAAAATCTTGGCCGTCTTTCCAATGCCCTCGTACAGTCACTTCCAACTGGGTTTCCGAATCGCCAAAGAACTAGCTGACCGTGGTCATCAAGTCACCGCAATTAGTCCATACCCCCAGAAGACCCCCATCAAGAATTACAAAGATGTGTCTGTGGAAGAACTCGTGCCTTTTGTAGAAGGTAAGTTGTAGCACTAGTCGACAACTAATAACACATTATTTTAGAACTAAAGAAAAATCTGTTCTCTGCCAATGCATTCACCCCACGTGACAGCCTCAATTTTATGTTCTTACTGGGCAATACATTAACAGAGAAAACCTTCAGCCAGAAAAGCGTCCAAGATTTGTTAAAATCTGACGAAACTTTCGACGTTATGATAATGGAGCATTTTGTTAACGACGCTTTGGTTGGAATTGCACACCGTTTTAAAATCCCAGTGGTATTAATAGGGTGTATGCGCGCTAGTAGTATCAACAACTATATTTTTGCCAATCCAGCTCCTTCTTCCTACGTTCCAAATCTTCTTGGAGCCTTCACCAAACACATGAACTTTTGGGAAAGAATTGAGAACTTTTATTACAATCTCCTGAATGATATTATGAGAGAAACGGTGTTTCTTTCCAAACAAAGAGAAATTTTCAAGAAATACATACACACAGATCTGGAATTAGATGACGTTTTGTACAACGTGAGTCTAATGCTTACAACGTCACACGTGAGCATCAACGATGCAGTGCCTCACGTCCCAAGCATGATAGAAATTGGAGGTTTCCATGTCAATCCACCAAAACAACTACCTCAAGATCTGCAAACCTTCCTAGATAAGTCTTCTGAAGGTGTCATTCTCTTCTCCATGGGGTCGAATTTGAAGAGTAAAGATTTGAAACCTCACGCTCGAGATGCTCTTCTTCGTTCGTTTGCAAAAATCAAACAGAAGGTGTTGTGGAAGTTTGAAGAAGAGCTACCGAATGCTCCTGGAAACGTGAAGGTGATGAAGTGGGTACCACAGCAAGATGTCTTAGGTAACCAAAAGCTCTCTAGTTCTTAGACAAAAGTGACCATTTCGACTATTTGTAGCCCACCCGAATGTTAAAGCGTTTATCTCTCACGGTGGTCTTCTAAGCACCATCGAAACCGTCTACTTCGGAGTCCCTATTATTGGAATTCCTGTTTTCGCTGACCAGAAAATTAATGTAGCTAACGCTGCACAAAACGGCTACGCTGTGAGCGTACCCTTAGCTGAATTATCAGAAGAGAAGCTCTCATTGGCACTTGATGAAATCATCAACAACCCTAAGTAAGTGTGGTTTTTTAAAAGTGTGAATACCTACCTTGTTTTCACAGATATAGAGAAAATGTTAAGCGGCGTTCGGAGATAATGCACGATCAACCACTCAAGCCTATAGATGCGGCTATTTATTGGATTGAACACGTAATACGTCATCAAGGAGCCCCTCATTTTAGAAATGCCGGATTGGATTTGATGTGGTACCAACGACACTTGGTGGACGTGTTCGCGTTTTTGGGTTTTGTGGCGGTTGTAGGTTGTGTTGTATTTTTCGTTGTCCTGAAGAAGGTAACGAGTTTGTGTTTCACGAAGCAGCCGAAAGTGACGAAGAAGAAGAAGAATAAGTAAATAAAAATATGTTGAAAGCTTAAGATATTTGTTTCTGTCAGAAATCGAAATCACGCACTCAGTTAAATTTTTGCCGTATTCTAAGGGGTTGTAGAAGAAAAGTGGAGGATTTAACTTGATTAACATTTTAGACATGTTTTAAGTTTCTTGTTGTCGAAATAAGTCTACACATATTAAGAAAAACAAAGGCAAAATGTAGCCCCACCCACCCACCCTATCTCAATTGTGATGATTTTTTTTATTCGCCGTGAGTCAAGAGGGCGGAGCTTCATTGCAAAATCCTTATTTCTCCACGAGAAATTAAAAATATGTTTTTGTGTACCTATCGTGTTGTTCAAAGCATACTATGTATATTAAGAAAAAAATAAAGCCAAAGATTAGGCCCCACCCACACCCGCCCCGATCTCAATTCTCAATTGTGATGAATTTTTCATTCGTTGTCAGATCGATGGGCTAAACAGGCGCGTATCCAGGGGGGGAGCAATGGGTGCATTCCCCCCCCCCCCCTGACACACGATCGAGGTACTTTATTTTGACCAATTTCAAAATTTTGAAATCGCACTTCATTTTGTAAATACAGTACAACCTCTATAATCCGAATTCACGATTATCCGAACATCCAGTAATCCGAACAGAAGCTATTTGAAGTCGATGCTTCTTTAATCTGAACAAAAACTCTGCAATCCGAACTGAACTTGAAAACACGGACCTGCTTGGAAAAATGACGCAAGATCTTTCTGCATATGTTGTATGGAATATTTTGAAATTTTTAAAAATTGCGATATTTCAATGCACTGAACTAATGAACTACTTCTGGAAAAAAGGTTGAAGTTATCGAAGAAATGAGGCCCGAAATCTACAAGAAAAAGTATTTAGTTAAATTTCGAAAATCGTCGAAAATGGGTCGAAATTTGCATGAGGAAAATTTCATTTTTGAAAAAAATTCTGACAAAATTTTAAGAGATATATGTATATCCCGACGTGCTGATTCCAAAAATATAGCATGTTAATGGTAACCGAGCAATATTTTCGGAAAATTCGGAGTGAAATTAGAATTTTTCGAAATTTTTAAAAATTTCGATATTTCAACTGGACGAATCCGGAAAAATGGTTTAAGTTATCGATGAAATGAAAGCGGATATGACTTCTGAGGCCGAAAATCAACAAGAAACTGTATTTAGATAAATTTCGAAAATCGTCGAGAATGGGTCGAAATTTGCATAATGGAGGTAATACGTAATGGAAAATTTAATTTTTGAAAAATTCATCCAAAAATTCTGAAAAAATTCAGGGTATAGATCCCGGCGTGTTGAGTACAAAAATATAGCGTGTTTCTGGTCACGGAGTAATATTTTTTTAAAATGCATCTATTATCCATTGTTACTTAAGAATTTTTTAATTTTGTTTAATGAAATTAAGGTTTATTTCTTGAAGTTTGTTTTCAACTGTGTATGAAGTTGTTATTAAATTCCCTTTCAGATTTCTGGGAAAATCGCTGATCCAAACAAATCGTTAATCCGAACATACCTTTTTCCCAATTAATTTGGATTATCGAGGTTCTACTGTACACTATACGTGTAACGAAAAGAAACAAATGTCACCCATGTTATGTGAAAAAGAGTATACTAGCTAAAATTTTATAAATTTTTTTGTTTAGAACGAATTTCTGAGAGATAGGTAAAATCGCACAAAAATTGCCCCCTCCTAAACAAAATCCTGTATCCGCGCCTGGGGGCTTAATTGCAAGATCCATATTTGTCTATAAGAATTTACCATTTTAAACATGTTTTAAGTTTCCTGTTCTGAAAAGACGGCTACGTATATTAAGAAAAGAGGGAAAAAATAAGCCCCGCCCACCCGCCCGTTCTCATTTGTGATGATTTTTTTTAATCGGCGAGAGCCAGGAGAGCGAAATTTAACTGCAAAATCTTTATTATTTCTCTACAAGAAATTACCATGTAAGACATGTTTATGAGTATCGTGTTATTTAAAGAATACTATGTACTTGTATGTATTTTAAGAAAAAATTAAAGCCAAAGATTAAGCCCCACCCACACCTGTCCTGATCAAAATAGTAATGAAGTTTTCATTTGTTGCCAGACCTAGGGGAGGAGCCTAATTGCAAAATCCATATTTCCTTACAAAAATTCACCATTTTAAACGTGTTTTAAGTTTTTTAAGAATAAAAAAATCATCACAGTTGAGAGGGGGTGGGTGGGTGGGGTTTATATTTTTACCATTGTTTTCTTAATCTACATAGTATTCTTTGAGCAGTACGATACTCAAAAACATGTTTTTAATTTCTTGTAAAGAAATAAATATTTTTCAGTTAAGTTCCATCCCCCTTGGTTCACGGCGAATAAAAAAAATCATCTCAATTGAGATAGGGTGGGTGGGCGGGCTTACATTTTGCCTTTTTGTTTTAATATGTGTAGACTTTTTTTCACACCATGAAACTTAAAATATGTTAAAAATGGAAAATTTGTATAAAGAAATATTGATTTTGCAATTAGGCTCCGGCTCATAATTGCAAATCCATATTTCCTTTCAAAAATGTACCACGTTTTAAGTTTCTTGTTGTGAAAAGATGACTATGTGTATTAACAAAAAAAAAAGGCAAAATATAAGCCCCGCCCACCCACCCTGTCCCAATTCTGATGATTCTTTGATTCGCAGTAAGTCGAGGGGCGGAGTTTAATTGTAAAATTATTATTTCCCTACGAGAAATTACAATGTGAAATATGTTCCTAAGTAATCACGTTACATAAAGAAGACTAAATGTATTAATTAAATAAAAAGACCAAAAGAGAAGCCATCTCATCTTAATTGTGATGAATTTTTCTTTTGTTGTGTCAGACCGGAGGCGGAGCATAATTGCTGTGGATATTTCACTATACAAATTTACCATTTTAAACATGTTTTAAGTTTCTTGTTGTGAAAAGATGACTACACATACTCAGAAAAAAAGGCAAAATGTAAGCCCCGCCCACCCGCCCTATCCCCATTGTGATGATTTTTTTATTCGTCGTGAGCCGAGGGGGCGGAGCTTAATTGCAAAACCCTTATTTCTCTACAAGAAATAAAAAAAATGTTTTTGAGTATCGTGTTGTTCAAAGAATACTATGTGATTCAGAAAAAAACAAGCCAAAAATTAAGCCCCATCGATATCCATCCCAAGCTCAATTGTCATGAATTTCATTCGTTGTCAGACTGAGGGGCGGAGCCTAATTGCTAAATCGATACTTTTCTGAAAAAAATTACCATTTTAAACATGTTTTACCTTTCTTGGTGTGAAAAGAAGACTATACTACACATATTAAGAAAAAATTGGTCTAAAGAGTTTAGACAGTACTTCCCTCGCTGTCGGAAACGTGACGACTGCATGTCTATTATGTTTTTTTTTCGCAGTAGATTTCATTTTTTTTGAGTCACCCGGTATATGCAAATTCAAAAAATATGAATGGAATGATAAATTACAAGTACAGACTCATCATATTTTGTATATTCTAGATAGGATTTATTCGGCAAACTTTTGAGCCAACGTCATCAGTTTTTTATAGAAGATAACCAAATATATTTTGACTAAAAATTTATTATGCTCTTTATAACCTTAAAACATTTGCAAGATTTCAAAACATTCGATTCTGGAGTTCCTGATTAAATCAATAAAATACATTTACCCATTCATTAATTTTTTTGGGTCACCCTGTATATGCAAATCCAAAAACTATTAATGGAATGATAAATCACAAGAAAAGATTCATCATATTTTGTACATTTTAGGTAGGATTTATTTAGCAAAATTTTGTCGTGACGTCATAAATTTTTTAGGGGGGATGAGCAAATACATTTTGATCAAAAACTTACCATGCTTATGATAACTTTAAAATACCTTCAAGATTTCAAAGCATTCGGTTTTGTAGTTCCTGAGTAAATCAATAAAATACATTTACCCATTCATTAATTTTTTTGAGTCACCCTGTATATGCAACTCCAAAAAATATGAATGAAGTGATATATCACAAGCACAGACTCATCATATTTTGTACATTTTACATAGGATTTATTTGACAAACTTTTGAGCTGACGTTGTCAAGTTTTTGGAGGGGATAAGCAAATATATTTTGACTAAACATTTATGATGCTCTTTATAGCCTTAAAACATCTGCAACATTTCAAAGCATTCTGGTTAGCAGATTAAAAATTAAATTTCAAAATGTTGTTTTATAATTTTGATTTTTTTTCCAAAAATTTGGACGTTTCGGGTAGAAACTCAATTCGGAGTCGTAAACTACATGTGTAGGACTATATTATTTTATACAATTTAAAACCTATTTACTATGTACAATTTTGAAGTGACGTCATCACATTAGTGGTGGGGATGATTAGACAAATTTTGGTTAGCGTTTTACCATCTACATGATATTCCTAATATAACTACAAAATTTCACAACAATCGGTCCAGTACTTTCGGAGATTATCTGTCTAATAAAAATCCGGGACGGCAGACAGACGGACAGACGGACAGACGGACAGACAGACGGAAATGGGAGACAGACGGAAATGGGAGACCTATTTCTTCGTCTTCTAGGGGTCATGAAAGATCGAGAAAACGTAAAAGTAGAGAGTCGGCCGACGATTACAATACTTCCTTTGCTTACGCTCGGGAAGTAAAAAAAGGGCAAAATGTAAGTAGTAGTTTGTAGTTATAACACCTAATCTGTTTTTGAGATGAGTAGCAATAAATCTTAAACGTCGAAAACTATCTTTAACAATGCACAAGTTCAGACAGAAAGCTACAGTGTAGAAAATGATGACCCCCCTACTTCAGGGGATTTTCCTTCATGTTGGCTGCGTCGCACACCACCGCAATTTGATTGGTTGAAAACTCACGTTGAAATTTTTAATTGGTCATGGTTTTAACTTACACAAACTGTATGTTTTAAGAGACGACCTACGTAATTTGGCGACTGGTGGCATAAATTCTCACCCAATATTTAAAACAGTTCATTAGTAGCATTTG